GGTTCCTTTAAACCAGACTCAAACTTGACTGTAAAGCACATGCAACAGTTCTTTCCATCTCCATAACAAATAATATAAATAACAAATAACATACATTATATAAACAAAACATAACATTTCCATCTCCATAACAAATATTATAAATAATCTAAGTGCACCCTCATTGCCTAAATGTAGTTCAATCAGCTGGGGAAAAATCTGCTCTCTAGGTAATAGAGGAAAAAAAGTCTCCCAAGAGCCAGATCCCCCAGAACATAGTGTCTTGGTATTTAATTGTAATATACAAACTCCATTAGCCACCAAGTCTGATTTTACTCACCCTAGGCTCTCTGGACTGTCCTGAAGTCTGTGATTTTGCTGACAGTTTTAACTGTTCTTCCAATTTCTGAATTTCCTGCTGAAAATCATCGCGTTCATGTTCCCTTTCTATGGCTTGTTCCTGTAAAACCAGCCAGAGAGAAACAAAATCTTTTTAAAGACTTCATTACAATCCTGAGTACAAGAATAATTGGGGTTTGTTGTTGTGGTGAAGAAACTGATAACTTAAAAAATAATTAACTAATTATTAAAAATTAATCAAGACTACCTTCTAGTAGTCCTAAAAGCACATCTACAGTGACAGGGAAATAAAAAAAAAGAGAAAGCACCTTTCTGATTTCAACATGCATATAAACTACAGTTAAATTTTTATTAAAACAATTTCATTTTTATTAAAACTAAAAATTACCCTGCAATACTACAAAAACCGAATTGAAAATTTAATTTTTTTTTTTTTTTTTTCCCCATGAAACTAGAACACCAAGGTCTTAATTTCAACCAAAACTGAAAACAGCCCATTTTGGGAACCACTTTCATGTGTCAAACTAGGATGAGAATTTATCACCTCCAAACCCATGGAAATGTGGTCTCTTACTTACATCCATGAATTGCCGCTGGTTTTTAAGCTGCTTTTCAAGAACTTCAATTTGCTGTTTTAATTCAGTAATCTCCAGTAACTTTGTAGCCAGGTCTTGGTTACTTTGCAGCTGCTCTTCCAGTTCCACCTCCAACACCTTCATCTGAGAGCGTAAGTTGGAATGGTCCTTTTCTGCCTGACACTGAAGCTCAAGTTTCTCCTTTGATAAAAATTCTACTTCCTTGAGTAGACCTTAGAAGAACACAAAAATAATAAAAGCTGTCAGTGGAGAGTACAAAAGTCAAAGATTTCAGATGAGATTAAATTTCGGTATTTTGGACAGAATCAAAACAACGAAAAATATTTATTCTTGAGGAGGGCTGTAAGAGATATCCTATACTGCTCTGCCTTAAATCCTTGCCGCTCTTCTGTCCCAAATCCCTCCTTAACCAAGCCATCCAACACAGAACTGTCAGTTCCTCCAAACTCTCATGCAAAGATCCTCCTTAGCCATCCAATAGCCAATGTTGGGCTAGTTTTTCCATTACTCCTGCCTTGTGCCATGCTGGATACTGCTGCTGCCATCTATACTGGTGAGAGAGCACCCAGACCATCTTTCCAGTGGCCACGGGTACCCAGCCTGACCCTGAAACCAGCTGCTATGAAAAAACAAAGTTACTGTATTTCTCTGAACCTGAGTGGGGGATTAAAACCCAGAGAAAAACCATGCTTACAGAAAATCAGTCCAGTTCTGAGGTTATAAAGGGAAGAAAGATGGCACATTTTCCCTATGCAGAAAAAGAAATACCAAAAAGGGAAGTGTACATAGCTGAAATTATTTAAGTTATCAAGAGTTAATTTACAGCTACAAACTACATTTTCAATCAGTTGGATGCACTGAACACACTGCTTAGGAGACAAAAACTGAAGACTTTACTGTGAACAGTCTTGGAGAAAAGCTACTTTAATTGTGAATATAGTTAGTAACCTGAAGATGAAAAGCCTGTCTCTTTTGTAGCAAAGTAAGGTCCTGCAAGAGCTCATGATTTTACTTTTCTAATGTTCCATTATTCACCTTATATGTTTTTGGTCACAGGTTATAGTTAAGTCTGTAATCCAACAAGGACCTTAAGAAATCATCCAGTCCAATTTCCAGAACAGACAATTCCCTTTTTGATAGTACGAACAATACAATGCATGTGATTTCTGACCTAATGTCATTACAAGCTGCTCTTACAAATCTTTGCTACCACAGCCTACCTACAATATTTTTTCTAGGGCTTCATTATCCAGAGATATCTAATGACATTTCTAGACCCTTGATACTAAGCAAAAAAATCATGAAAATGTCTATGTTAATGTATAAAAAGAAAAGTGTGACAGGCTTGGCATAATGCAACAACATTCACACTACACATTGGGGAAAATGTCACCACAGTGAGGATAATGGAAAACAATGTGAAACATCTGTGAATTCATAGGCTCTGGAAATCAAAAAAAGCCAGACAAAGAGAAACAAGGAAAGTTTGGGACAAAAACATGGACTACATGAGCTCTTGAGGTAAACAGCAATCCTGTTGTGGATTACAGTTACACTCCAACTACATTTCACTCCAAGCACTAATTATAGCCTATGTAATAACCACAATGCAATCACTGTGCCACATTGCCTACTTTTTATTTTATTTTTAAATAATCACAAGTTCATTTGGTTGTGGATGTAACTCAGGCTCTGGCAGCATGCATGAAGTGAAGACTCTGCCCTAATTTCTTTTCCAATCCCCCTGGAGCTGTGTTATACATATCCTATAGTATATGTATCATGTAATGCAACAGAAAAAAAAAACCACAAAAAGCAACAACAGCTGAATTCCATTAGAACATCCAATCCCAGCCACAGCTGCATGACAGATTATCTTTTGCCAAGCAAGAGATGGGAATAATGTCAATAAAATAGCACTCTAGTGTATTTACTAATACATGGTGCAGAGAGGAGGGCAAGGTCAAGTGCTGGAGATATTTGGGCACCCAAAGGAAGGTCATCGATTTAGACTGACTCTGAGAAAGAAGAACAAGTATTTGGAAAAATAAGCACAAGAATTTTGCCTCCGATATCCTAAGAAACATGGCTGATGGCTTCTTTTTTAGCTTCCAGAGGAACACTAGTGCTTTATGAGGAACAAAATACTGAGTTGGTAACACTGACCTACACAGTCACAGTCACCTCCTCAGACAGAAGTGGAAATTAATTTAAAAAAATAATTAGGCAAGCAGATATTACCTGGAATCAGCAGTATTTCATAGAAAGCAGTTGTCAAATTTTGGCAACTTCTAGGCTCAATCTTTCTGACAAATTTTTTTTTAAAGCACATGTTCCCCAAGTGTATAAATAGAATTTCAAGCAACACACCAATAGATCATCAGCTCACAGATTTGTTTCTTTGTAGAGACAAACCTATTTTATTAATGCTACTGCACATCATGCAATTCCCCTTAGGAGAGGCTCAGCACACCCCTTCCCACTCCCCAGATCATTATCAAATGCCAAGCTCCATTCCAAAAGAGTTTTAATTAGCAAGGCCAATCTACTCACATTAGTACTCCACATGAAAAACAGGAGGAGACGTCAGCTTTTCAAGGAATAAGCCCATGTCAATCAGCTCCAAACAATATGATTTATATTTATCATGTTTTCCACATACTACAAACAATTTCAAACCTGAGGAAGAGTACTAGTGATAGTTGGGGTGAGGCAAAGGGGATGGATTTCAGGACTTGGCCCTTGCAGCAAAAGTAACTGTTCAAGTTCTAAGGAGCTGCTGGCAAGAGCTGGGCTGCAGCTCCTGGGAGAATGTCAATCCCAAAATATACCATAACCAACTCGGTTCTACAGAGGGCAGCAGCAAATTTCAGGACAGTGAGGTCGATACCAAAAATAGGTTACATTAAAAATAGTGTTTGAGGGAGATTTGAATGGACAGAAGGAATAAAGATACAGTAATGGGTAAGAAAGCTCAGTGCAGCTTTTTGACTCTTAACAGGAATTTACCTACGTAACTTTTTATTCACCTTAGTGATTTGGTTAATCAGTTTAATCACACTCTCTGGGGAAAAGAAAATCCAGAAACAAGAGACAGTGAATATGCAAGAATCTATGAATATATACATGTGTGTAAATAAAATTAATCTAAAAAACAATAGGAGAATTATATTTTGAGTAGACCACAAAATAATAACGTCAAGTATGAACTTATCTGACCTAAATATTAGCCACTCAGTAGTTAAGTAGGCAAACTTTAGTTCAGGAGGAAAATAAAACTTGTCTTTCAATTTGTCATCTACAAATTTGACTTCCACTTGACTTGACTTCCAAAATTAGTGTATAACTCTATGGATCCTTCCTGCTTATTTCTGGTTTCCTCTTTCATTTCTTTACTAGCCTTCCCTACCATTGTGCTTGCTTTTTTTCTGACCTACCAATCCTTTCAAGTTACATTTCTCTCATCTTCTTTAGACGTGCTTCAGTTCTTGCTGTACTTTTTTTAGCTCACAGATTGATGCCACCTCAAATATTTTTCTTTTTCCTTCCCTTCTTTAACTTCATTTACTCATTTTGAAGCTGACTTTGTATCACTAGACGTTCACGCCCAGCTTGCAACCTACTCCATCCTCTCAAAAAAATGAAGCATGCAAAATCAAAGACAATGGCACAGTGCACTTTAAGCCTGATGGCAGCAAAACATCTTTTCACTTCAAATATTCATTACTGAATTGAATAGTCTGCATTTTGCATCATGGAAATCATAGCTTTTTCTGGCCAAGATACTTTTAAACCCAGTAACGTGTTGGGCCTAATTGTTAAGTACTATTCCTCATTGTTCAAATAAAATAAAAGTTATCAATTTATTCACTCGGCGTTACAGCAACACAGCAAGAAACAAATCCACACTTGTCATTACAAACCTGAACCTTCTTTTTGTGCAACATTAGCAACAGGTGTTCCTAGAAATCAAAACACAGACACATGCACAAGATGAACAGGGCATTGTGATCCATTTCATCTTCTGGACCATCAAAAATGTGTATGGAGCACAGACAGTGCTGACCTTCAGGCATTTCACCTTTACTGTGCCACAAAGCTCCTGATGACCTTGAGCCATATCTGGAGAGCTTTCTCCCTTTACAGGAGACCCTCTCACCTGTGTACCAGGCTGAGATGCTCATTAGGTATCAAGACAAACTGATCCATGACAAAAGGACATTGCAAAGTGCCCTGACTTGAGACAACTTTGTTGTGAGCCAAGAATGCTGTACCCTCTGCTCACCAAGAATTGCCTGCTCCTGGGTCAGCTCCTGGAAGCGTTCCCTCATGTTCTCCAGCTCCACAACAAGACGACGCTCAGATTCCTCTTTCAGGTTTAAGGCCTCTTCTAGTGCAGCTTTTTCTGCAACATAACCTTCAATAATACCTGGAAGCCAAGTCAGAATGCAAATAAAGCCATACACAAATTCATTTATTGAGAAAAAATAGTGTGAAAATATGAGTAAACAATTTTTGCCAAGCAATGGAAGGTGACATAAAAAGGAAGAATAAAAGATGATTTATGTTTATACTATGGCTAGGCTTTTGAAGTATCTTAAGGAATAAAACATACCAGTTAATGTAGTCTAAGATTATCACGATTTTACGAGGCTGACACATCACAAAGTGTCTCCAAATCAGTAGGATTCAAACGGGGATCATGAAGCTTTGATGGCCTGGGATGAGCTTACAACACATCCTCTGCCAAGGGCTGATGTTTCAAGAAACAGAATCTCCAGAAAGTAAGTTCAAATGATAGATTTAGAGCCCAAGAAATCCAGGAAAGCACATAATAGATATTGGAAGGAACAGGCTGTGGGTAAATGACACTGCAATCTCACTCAGGCTCTGTTGCTTACCCTCTGCCTTGTGAAGCTCTAGTGCCAGCTGGTTCTTGGCCTCACTCTCCTCACTGAGGCACTCCATCAGCTCCTGGTGCTGACTCACCACCTGCGCTGTCTCCTGATTGCGGCGGCTGAACTCTTCCTCAAACTGCGCGTGGTTTTCATGCATCTTCTCTAGCTGCAAGTGAGAAATTGCCCCAGCATCAGACCTCAGATGCACATGCAAGGTAATAATACTGCAGACATTGCAACAAAACCTCAATTTTTAGTAACATTCGTGCATTAAGGATCAAGTTTTGAAGTTTCATTTCTGTACTAAGCCGACTTTGCCCAAAACCTTGGGACACTTTGTTGAATCCCTGTACTTGCATACCATTATTTTTGCCACAAGTCTTGCTTAAGAACATAAGTTTCTTCACTGCACACAAAAAGAAATACATCTCTATTGGCTAAACTACTTAGCTTGACACTTCCTGAGCCACTTGAAATTCAAAGCATCCGTACATTTAAATTCTTTAAGAGATTCAGTCACATCTAATAGACAGTGAAGTCCATGTATCATCAGATTTCTGAGGAACTACACCATAAGGAAAATATGCTGGATCACAACTGATAAAGGTAACCTAGAACCCAGATCTGCCATGGCTTGGGCAAGTGTTTTAACCACCAATTAACTATGTCTCAGTAGAACCATCACCAGTACCTAAAAGGAAATTTATGCACTTCTTCCTAGGAGGGATTTTTTGAAGATGGTGAAAATACATTTCACACAGGCAGGCACATATCTCTGGATTCCACAAAATACCCAATGAGTAGATTAATTTCAGACATGTTTTTCCCCTTACCATCTTCTTTTCACTTAGGGACTTACCCAACAAATAAATTATTGTCACACTAAATTAAATCCTCAGATGTATACAGTGCTTGCGCATCTACCCCAGATGTGCAATCTAGACACTGCAAAACTCAAGTCTGGAATTACTCAAGTTCTTTTATGATACTGAGTGCATCTCCTTTTGTCACAATTAAAGCAGCATGTAATTACAAGGATGTTCGTTTCCCCAAACATTTTGACATTGGACTGAGTTTTCCTGAACCTACTTATCAGTGCTGAAAAGGCATCAGTGTGAAGTGTGATAAAACCCCCTCAAAAAAACTCCTGGTCTTCTGAAGTTACCAAAAAAATTTTAAATCCTATTTTAAATCTACTTAAAGTGACCAATCTATTGCCTCCCCAAAGGATCTGTTAAAACGTTAAATACACAGCCTTAAAACTGATTTCACATTTTCAGTGTTATACACAAAATCCTGGAATGATTTGGTTTGAAAGGGACCTTTAAAGACCAGCTAGCTCCAAACCCTTGCCATAAGCAGGGACATCTTCCACTAGACCAGGTTGACTCTGCAGAGATTAAAAAAGCTTTACTTGTTTAGTTGACTCTGTAACCAGCTCCAGAAGTCTCTCCACCGCAGTGCGCAAACGATGACAAATTTTCAGTATCGTTTCTTCACTTTCACATGCCAATTCTGGCTTTGCAAAAACACTTTCACATAAGTATTGGCTCAACTCAGACACCTCGTCAGTCCCTGGAGACAGCTGGTTGTGTTCTGTGAGGGTTTCATCAAGCAGCTCCTCTACTGAAAGCAAGGAAGCTATTGAAAAACACAGAAAAGTCACAGCTAGCCACAAAACTGGTCACCCAGAAGACCGACATCAGGCAGTGACATGGTCCTGGACATGCACTACAAGATGAAAACTTGGACCCATCAACAACTCAATGTTGAAAAATCATGAGGGTTTTTCACAAGGTTTGGCAATCTTGTGCTATCCATCAGGACCTGGAACTCTGAATTCACCAAGTCCATATTTCCTGCCCTATAATCTATACAAGCTTTTCTAACAACATTTTAGTAATTGCACTATTAAAAGAAATAAATGGAGAGAACAATGGTAGACACTATCTTAAGTGTGGACCAACTTTGAAAGACACAAACATTGCAAAAAGAGATTCTTTTTCCATTCTCTTTTCCTTTCTCTTTCTTTTCTTCATCCATACAAAAGGATATGAAAAGGCAGTTTTCAAGAACATGGATTGACTACATCCAGGTTTGCTGATTTCTACTCACCTTTCTCTAGGTGATAGTTTTCTTTGGCTTTGAAATACTGCATGAATCCCATTTCTTCCATAATACTCTGAGCTTCTTTAGAATCTCCAGAAGCCAGACTGTCATCAAGGCAAAGACCAATCTTGCTACAGATAAGGTCCTCAATAACTACTGTGGCCTTCACCACTTCCATAAGAAGTTTCAAAACATGCTGATAAGATTCACGCAGTTTTTCCCTAGAACAAAAGCATGTTGAACATTTGAAAAATTGCACTCACTTGATTTGAAAGAAACTTTGAAACTACTGTAAACCTGACACTCTAAAATGGGTATCTGCCATGGTTGGGCAGTTATCAGTGAAGATCACTCAGATGTCTCACAAAAAACAGCTCTTTTTAAAGAGCTGGCACAGCTGATGCCTTGTCAAGGCTGATCAAGAACAGAGGCTGGATGGAGTTAAAGAATAAAGTGGGGATTTATTAAAAGCCTCAATGGATCCACCTTGGGCAGCAGAGAGCCCAGCCAGGGCTACACCCAAGATGAACCAAAATGGTCACAAAACGGACAACTGGTCACAGGGTCTCTCACTTTCATAAGTTTTGCTTCATTTGCATATTGGAGTTAATTGTGCAATTACAGCTTTAGGTTATGAAGTCCCATCCTTGTTTTTCTCTCTTCAGTCCACATGGTTTATGCTTTTGGGCCTGATATTTGGATCATTTGTCCTTGGACCCCAGCTAGAGGAAGGAATTGTTTTGTCCCACTACTCTGTGAAGAGAGCTCACCATCCCCTAATATGAAGCTCAAAAGTACACACTAAAGCAGCTCAGAATCTGAAAAATATAAAAGCTAAAACCTGAGGCATCACAGCAAAACACCTTTGTCATCTCCACAGGTAGATCACACTACAGTCACATGGAAGCATCTCAGCCTTCCATACCCGCGGAAGCACCAGGAAGGAAGACACTACTGCAGTAGGAGGAGCAAGGAGTCTACTGCTACAGTATCAGTGACATCAAAATAACTAGAGCGTGTTCTAGCAGACCTGACAATAAAAGCTCTATTTCTATTTACGAAAATATTTTACTTTTAAAATTAACACTAAGCCAGTTTCTGAAAGATGAGAGAGGGTATTCTAGAAGCTTATTCAACATGACAGCTTCTCTAATCCACACATCCCCATGACATGTCAAACCAATCCACTCCAACTGAAAGCCTCTTGGTCACAGAACCTCTCTCCATTTTTTTAGATTTTTCCAAGATTAGAGACAGCAGAAACCCCAAAACACCAAAGTCTTCTTCACACTGAAAGAAAAAGAGCAAGAAAAAAACCCAACTTGCTCTTAACGTCAAAATAGGTTGATAATTTAAAAAACCTCAGAATAATTTGCAAATAAAAGCAATATATCATCCCCAATGCTTCTGTTTTGAGCTGGCTTAGTTTTGCCTAGTTATTGATTTCTTTAAGAGAAGTAAGAAAACAAGCAAATAGAAAAACCCCAAGCACTAAGCATTATGTAACAAACCTTTCCTCTTTGGACTGCTCAATATCAGACCTCAGCAAGGCCACCAAATTTCCTCCTTCTTGGTTTTCCCCGCCCCGCCACTGAAGGAGTGTCTCCAGTTCAGAGTTGGTCTCCTCTATTTCATGCTTTAAAGAGGCCACTTTCTTTTCCAGCTGTCGAAGTACAGTGACAACACAACAAAGTCAACAATTTTGCCTAAACTTGGCTCTACCAACTCTATCTGAAAATGAGTTTCTAGAAAAATTACTTCTTATATTTATTTTTTCAGAAAATATCTATACCAGATTAAAACATATGATTACCTATAAATAAAAATACATATTTTTATGTATCTGCCCACCCCCACTTCCAGACAAATTACTACCATTTTGTTAAAAACTCTGTTTCATAAATAAGATAGCAAATAAGTCAAAGTATCAATTTGGGAGAACACTGCAAACACAGAAAAGCATTCTGCTCCCATGCCAACATTCTCAATCCTCATCAAGTCCTACAAGAAGAGCTGGGAAGAGTAAGGCATTCCCAGTCAGGAAATTCTTAGTGTTACTCTGTTTCCCCCTAGTATAACATAACACAAGAATTATACCTGCAGTCTCTCTATATACATATTGAAGCCGAGAGCCCTGTGCTAAAATACAACCCCCAAAAGCACATTTAAAATCTAGGTTTAAAGTATTTTATCCACACCTGGTTAATTATTGCTGCTCTTTCCTGCAGCTGGGCTGATAACATTTCTTGTTCCTTTTGGTGAGCAGCCTGCACCTTCTCCCTCTCCTGAATCAACAGCTGCTCCTTGTCGTGCAGTGATGCCTTTTTTTCAGCTTCAAATTCATCCTGCATAAATCGCATATGCTTGGATTTACTGAGAGAAGAAAAGATGCCCAAACACCACCACTATCCTCCAAAAAAACCTCAAACATCCCTGTATTTTTCTGTATTCTTTAGAAGCACACATTTTGCCTCTCAGAATAACAAACAGTGACACACACAACACCTCCAAACAACAAAATTATGCTGAAACTGTGATCAAAATCACAGTGTGGCCAGCAGAACCAGGGTGGTGACTGTCCCTCTGTACAAAGCATGGATGAGGCACAATTTTATCTATGAACACCAATACACTACAGCTGTTTTTTACATTGGAAGTCAAGATAACAATTTTTCCCCATGGCAAGAAATAAGACTTCAGAAGAGCAGAAGGCCTGCAGTCACCTGAGCTGACATGGATCCTGTACAGAAGACTGAGCCAGTCTTTGCCCCATGCTCTAGCAGTTAGGAAAGTAAAAATGGGCTGACACAAAGGGATAGGATGATTTTCCTAGAACGTGGCGTTTCTGGACAAAATCTCTGAAGCAGCCTGCTTGTTCTTCTCAGAAGCACTTGGAGAGTCAGAGCACAGACAGCAATTCTGAATACCTCAAATCTGCTAGGGAGGCAGAGGGAAGGAACCAACGGAACAGGCTGGCATGAAGAGAACTGCATAATCAACACAAGGAAGCGGGAAGGGAAAGGCTTGCTGTAAAAACCTGTATCAGCCCACAATACACCTCAGTCTGACACTGCAAAGAAATCCAGCCAGTCTCTTCTGGGACAAAACACTGGTTAGCAAGTACAGGAGGCAAAAAACCCAGCTGACTCCATACACAGCTGCACCAGCAGGAGAATTAGCCCTGGAAAAGTTTCAACGCAAAGTGAAGTTTCTGGTGTCACAAATGCTAATTAAAGCAGCATAAAACAAAAAAAGCAGGGATCACTTCTGGAGTTTCTGCATAACCCTCAGTCCAGTCCCAGCTTCTGTGGGCTGAAGGCTGGGGTTCAGCTGAGGACAGCAGTGCCAAATATACCTGCAGCAGCTTTTCAGGACACACTTGTGCCCTCTGTTTCAAAAGCCAGCTGCAGCACCTAGAAGTCAGTGATCAGGACTACACAGAGGGCCAGAGACAGGAAACATCTTGAAAATGCTTATCATGATGTTTATCATGGTGAATCAATGAAAGCAGAGATTAATAACAAGAGTAACAACAAAGTATCTCATAGACAAAGAGTTCACTGCCATCACACACTTGGTAAAAGCCTAGATAATAACCAATATCTTGCCACATAGCCACAGTATGTGCAGTAGATGTGGGATGATAGGCCAAGGACACAGTCTCTGCAGACACTAAGAAGAAAAAGTTCCAAATGACAAACTGAACATGTACACAAGGAATGCTGCTTAGAGCGTGTTCCACTGATTGTTTTGGTTTTGGCTGAAGGACATTCCATATCCAGTTCAGGACTTTAAGACAACCCTGTGGTAAAGACAATTGCTCACAGAAGACTGCTTTATTTCCAATGTTTTTCTAGCTCTAACATTGTGAAGCATAGGAGAGATCTCACTCAGAGTGCCATTTTAGAGGCTGAAGAACAAAAATCTTACATCAATTTCTCTTTTTCAGCAAAAAACACTCCCAAGTGCTTATGCAGAAGAGCATTTTCAGCAGGGCCTACCTTCAGCTGTGAAATCTGCTGTTCCAGCAGCACCTCTGACTGACACTTCAACAGCTCAATCTCCTCCTGGAACTGAAGCTGCTGCTTCAATTTTACCTCCTCAAATTGAGCCAGAAGAGCTGCTCTCACAGATTTTACTTCAGAAGCTGATGCAGAAGCATACAGCTGCAGACAAGGAAAGAATATAAAATATTTTAGCCACAGTGTTAGAATTAAGTAAAATATGAAACCAAACCAAACCCATCAAGCTAAACCAAATTCTGAAGAGTACATCCACAATCCTCAAGGTCATACAGGGCTGCTGTCTATCATCATGCTGAGTATAGAAACAAGCAGGTTGATAAAAATAGATAAGCAACCAGCCATTAGGTATCAAGTATCTCCTGTACTCCTGTATTCATGAGACCATCAGGTCAGACTAACAAAATATTCCTGATTTACTCTTTCCAACAGACACTTTGCTAAAAGAAATTCAAAAAAATAAAGAGGAAAGAGGGGGAGAGAAACATAGGGAGAGCATATTTTGTCAGATGTGATTTCCCTTGCTCAAATGGGAGCAAGCATTATACATCTCTATTTAAAGCAATTATCCTGGGATACAATAGCAAAAGGTTTGAGAAATTTTTGGTCATCTAGGGTTTTCTCCCTACTATTCTCACTAAGAAGAGTCACTGTAGACTTGAAAATAGACAAATCCTGTTTCTGGGATAATGTGCTTGAAGACTGAATTGCCATTAGAACCTCCCAGGAAACTAATGAAACTTTCTCTCCAGGTAATCTCTTCTTCTAAAAAGGATTTAAGAGTTAATTGGAACATTATCAAATTTTCAATTTAGTAAGTGAAAAAAGTAAAAGCTAGAAATATTTTAACTTAATGTGTTCAGTGTCTATAGCTGGATAAAGCTCATTTTGTTTGTGACTTTTCCTACTATATAAGTAATATTTAACAGTAGGGGCTGCTCTCATCTGCAGAAGTTAGATTGTGTCCCCTTACTGTTAGCACTATTTAAAAAAATTCCAAAACCATCTAGGTGTAGAACCTTATTTCTAAGCTTAATAAAACTGAATTTACTTCATGATAAACATGGATTGTTCTTGGTTTAGGTATTAGCAGCATTCTGACCTCTTGCTCACATTCATGCTCTGCTTTTAGTTTCCCCAGTTGTTCTTCCAACTCCCTGGAGTACTCTTCCTTATGTTTCCTAATATCTGCTTCATGAAGATCCTGAAGCTCTTGGAGTGCTTTCCTGTGCTTCTCCTCCATCTGCAGCACTTCCTCACGTAACAGATCCAGAGCCAGACGTTTCTCTTCTTCCAGCAACTTCCTCTGATTTTGAAGAGCTGTGTTTAGCTCATCCTGCATAAGCAGTACATTTAAAAAGGGGAGGGGAAAAAAATAAGTACAATTATCTTTGCAACCCATTTGTCAAGCACATGTCCTGCTGTATCAAAGCTTTTAAAATCAACAGGAACAATATTGTTTCATGAAGGATGAGCATACATATATATACATACTCTCTATAACATTTTAATGGGTTTATTTTTCTTATCTAGTAAAAGTTTTGCAAATCCTTAATAACTTGGAAGGATCTTCAGATTCCTAGAGATGTGGCTTAACCTCCAGAATTGTATTTACTTTGGTCTAATCACTTTATGAAAAATTACACAATAGCTCTGCCAGGGAGAGAAGGTCTGAGCCACAAAAGGGAAACCCTCCAATCTTAAACACATTAGAAGATATACCTCATTTGTGCCTTTTCCACAAATGATACAGAAAACTCATCACACTGCGCATTTGGGGCAGGAAGCAACAGGTGGATTTAATTTTCATCTAGAGTCTTCTGTTTCAGCTCATAATATGGCCACACACAATGTGTAAGTGCTGGCACAAAGAGGTTGTGAAAACATCCCCTGAGAACAAAGGAAAAGGTGATCCCACACAATGCGTCATGAAGTTTCACCTCCTATGCTAGCTTTTCTTTCTGACCCACCTTATGAGCTTCTTCTGCTTCAAGAGCCATGGTTTTAAGCTTTTCCAGATTAACAGTAGCTAGCTCAATTTTCAAATTATTCTGGGAAAGCTGAAGTTCTTCAGCATGCTTCAATTTCAGCATCTCAATCTCCTGAAGCAGTTGTGCCTGATGGATTTTATCTTGCTCTTGGAGCTGCTCCCTGTGCTGCAGCTGTAGCTTCTCCAGAGCCTGACTGTGTTCATCTCTTATAGTCTGAATTTCAGATAGGTAGGAAGACTCCAAGGAATCCAGATTTGATAAGTGTTTAACCTCCAGCTCATCAATTTGGGCCTGATGCTTTGTCTGTAGTTCAGCAACACATCTTTCAAGATGAATCTGTTGTTTACTTTCCAGTGTAGATTTAAGTGTCTCAATTTCAGCTTGGTGTTTTGCCTGAAAATCAGCTGTCAGAGACAAAATCTGCTGCTTATGCTTCTCCTCTAACTGCTGACTTTGGAGTTCCAGCTCATCCACATGTTTCTTTTTCAGCTTTTGGAGAAGAATCTCTTGTTCAGTTGTGAATTTCTGAGTCATTGCTTGGTGCTCCTCCATAAACCTGTATTATTTCCAAGAAAATTAAGATACTATTGTCAAAAAAGTCACTTTTAAAAAAAAATAATTGAGCTAATAAATAATAATCCAAGGAAAATAAATAGACCTCACTTGGTCTCTACAAGTTTTACTTGATGCTTCAAATACAGAACTAAATTCAAAGCAAGCCATAATGATGATTTCATATCCACATAAAGGTTTCTGTAATGTCACTTTGAAGTATCTGGTTATTACTAGAGAAACTGACACCCCTATTAACTTACAAATACAGAGAAATATATTTGAGAAATACTGCCATGACAGTATCTCGTGGTGTATACATTGCTACATCTCACATGTGTTGTCTGCAAATAAATGAACTGTCATAACAAACACCTCTAAAATCATCTGGTAAAGACAGGCATAAAACCACTGTGGAGGTGTATGTGGGACACTTGGGGACTCCTCCAAACCCAGCTGAGTGCTGCTTAAAGTATGATGCAGAAGATTTAGTATCTGAAGTACTGCCCTTTACTGCAATTAGTAACTACAGTATTTTTGCATGCAGACACCAATAACTAAAAAAAAACCCCAGTTATCTAAAAGTTAAGTTGCTAGTTTCAGCGCTTTCTTGCAGTCATTCTTTCTCCAGTCTTGTTCTGTGAACATATTTTTGGGGAAGGAAGGAGGAATGAATTTGAAGCAATGAATGCAAATACCAACAAAGTGGTTGTTTACTTCCCTTAATTCACTTGAAACAACAGGTGTAGGAAGGGAAAGAAAAATAGTAGTTCCAGGCATCTAACCAGAACTAAAGAATACCAAAGGGGGGCCCCATCAACTTCAGCATTCAATGGTTAGCACAAGCTTTGTTCACCAGGAAAAGCTTGTTTACATTCATTCCAATTGTTTAAAAACAATTAGAGATTTTTTCCACCTATACATCCTATCACACTTCTCCTTGAAGGCTGGTGTACGATTTCCAGATGTGTTGTACTCTGCAGGCAAAACCTGACTACATTTTATTTGCTAGACTAGATGAAATGCCTTTACACAAAGCAAAAATCTACAGCAGACCACAGGAGACAGCACTGCTGTTCCCTGGGACAGGAAGATTAACATATGTAAGTCACATAGTGCCATCAAGTGACTACCTTACACTAACACTCATTAAGTCTAAAATAAGACAAAGCAACTCTAACAATAAGTGAACTTCTAAGGGAAACTTACTTGTTTTGTGCTTCCAGGAGTTTCAGAGCACATTCTTCTTGCAGGCAGAGTGTGGTCTTTTCCATATCTTTTGCCATGAGGGCTTTGGCTGCCTCCAGGTCAGCTTCATATTGCTGCTGAGCTTTCTGCACAGCCTGGGCAGCAGCAAGGCTGTCCTCCAGCTGCTGCAAGTTGTTTTGCTGCTCCTTCACCAGCTTCTCCAGGTCCAGAATTTTGGCAGCTTGGTGATCTTGAAGTTGAATCATTTCAGCTTCACGGAGTTCAAAGTGTTTTTGTAAGTTCTGCTTCTCAGATTCTGCTCTGGTTTGCAGTTCTACATGCAATAGTGATAACTTCTCTTCTGCTAGGATTCTCTGGGCCTCACTTTCACATTGCCATTTCTTCTCTTTTTCTTTGTACATATTCTCTATTTTATGGACTTCTTCTCTTAATTCCTTTTTGTGATCCTCAGCAATTTTATATTTTACCTGTGAAGACAATTATTTAAAAGAAAAAGAATAAACTACCAAAACCAAACTGAAATGTGTGAAATGAACACTCTCAGGCATTGAAGGTCATGAAAAGATTAAATTCTTGTAGTGAAGTAACCCTTGCTAATGAAAGTAAGACTGAAATGACAATTTATAAACTGACATGCATTAAATTCAATGCATTATTAAGAATTAATTTGGGTTATGAAGACAAGAAAATACTAAGGCAGAATTCTAGAATTAATATGGTACTCCATGTTGATTTCTCTTGAGGTCACATCTTCTTTTCAGGAGTTCAACTTATACAGCTATGGGCATCTTAGGTGTTTATATTAGGCATGAATTAAAATACCTTTTAAGAGCCATATAAAAAGCATGTAGCACAAAAAGAGAAGCCAAAGCAGCAAATGATTCCTCCATGACAGAAGGCAAAAAAAAGACTGTCTCTGGTTTTCTCCATCAGTTTCTAAGCCTGCAAGAGGATACACACATCCATGGCTCTTTAAAAAGGGTGGAAAGGAGGACTTGATAAATAAGAGCTTCACCCATCTAATTCTCATAAGCATTCAAATATGCAACAATTTGAGCAATGAATTAACATTTATTCTAAGTTTACCCTCAGCTGGAACAACTGATTTAACATTTAAGAGTGACTGATTTAACATGTAAGAGTGACAGTACCATTTACGACTTTTAAATTCAAGTGCTGCCTCTCCCTCCCTTGGCCTTCCCACCAGGCTGGAACTTGCCCAACTCTACACAAAGCAGCTCTGAAGTACAAATTACCTTTTCCATTTCTTCTTTCAGATACTTTTCATTTTGCTCAGAAAAATCTTTTTGTTTTATAAGCTCTTCCTTTAAATGCCTTATTTGCTCTGAGAGTTCTGCAATATGCTGTTTCTCAGAGTTGGAGAAAGCAAGCTTGGCTTTGTGCTCTTCCTCCAACACAGACACTCGCTCAGCCACCTCCACCTCAACCTGACGTGCTACATTTTGAACACTCTGGAGACGCAGTTTGGTGATTTCTGGACAGAAAAAAAACAAAACAGAAAAAAATCCAAGCCAGACAATAAAATGACATTCTGGAATTTATTTTAACAGCTCCAATTGATGCACAGAAATAAAGCTGAATGTTGTCAGCTGCACAATTGTAGTAGTTGTCCTGTAGTAGCCATGCTAACTACAGGACAAGGAGAATCCCTTAGCTGAATGATTTTATACTCTATTCCATTTTATCACCATCTTGGGAATTTATCACTATAAACACACACAAAATAATCATAAAACCTGTGGCAGGACATCCCTCCTTATCTGCAACAGCCAGAGGAGCAGACTTTCTTTCTGGGCAATGTAATGACAGATTTATGGAAGTTTTATCTCCTCTTTTGCACATCATATTTACACAAGGCATTTCCCCAAAAGTCAGATGGGACCAGTCTCTAAACAGTCTAATTTAAGCAGTTTTGATATCCTCTCTAGTATTAAAAGTAAATAATTCAAGATAAGAAATATAACTGCAAATTAAAAAAGCTCTACTAATCCTTTTAAACAAAATAAAGTGGAATACAATTATAACCATGTGTGTTAAATTAGCTAACTCAGATATGTATTGTTAGTCCAAATTTTTGTATAACAGTGCCCTTCTAGACATCAAAAATGGAAACCTGATCAACTCCTATTAGAAACTGCTCTGCAGTTCTAATAGTTTTTACTACAGAAAAAACAACTTCAGGTCACCATATCTTCAGAAGTGCAACTCAACATGCCCATAAATGCTTGATGAAAGAGATTAACATCTGTTAAATGTTCCCCATAGTTTAGGGTAAACTAATAAGTTGAAAACTTCCTCAGATAAGCCTATTTAAAGAAAAATATAAGCCACACAAGCAGCTTACTGTTTCCCTCCCCAGTCTGTCAGACCATCCTACCTTTAGACTGTTCTTCTGAAAGTTGGGCATGGAGCTGCTCAAGTTCTAAACCATGCTTTCTTTTCAAGGCCTCAGTTTCTGCTGCATATTTGTCTGACAGATGCATCTTCATTTTCATCAGGTCCTCTTTATACTGAAGTGCAAGGGAGGATCTCAAGGAATCCAATTCATGCCTGTGTTGTTCTGCAAGTTGTAGCTGCAAACAGGCAAGTTCTTCCTACAGAAATAAAGGGTTAGTAAGAGATCTTTAGCTTCTAAGAAACCATGGTGAGAATCTTCCAATGAGAGAAAGGAAAATTCCATGTGCAAACACTTAGTCCACTTGAAACAAGTTGAGCAAAAATGTTGAGATCTTCAGTTACAGCAAGGTGCATGAAAATAGAGGCATAAATTTAAGAGGGGTCAGTTAGCATCTTGGCTTGAAGAGAACAAGGACAGGCACAATTACTACCAGAGCTATAGAAAAGAGAAATACCATGAATTCTGCACTGGTGTAGAACTGGTAAGTCCCTTACCCAGCACAGGATAACCCAACCAGCACATAAAATTACAGAGCACTGTTTCAGATGTTCCTCTCTACAGCCTCTCTAAGGCTGATAGCTATTGAAAGTTGATAATTTACAATGCTTGTCAGAACTAATTAAGCCCTATAAAACATCTGAAATTAATTTACTCTTTGTAAGAGCTAGGAATCAGACATAAATTTTCAAACAGGTCATGTAAAGAACAGTACAACTTGTAACGTATCAAAAATCCTACCTGTTGTTGTTCAAGCTGTTGATTTAGCTGACCAAGTGCAACACCTCTCTCTTTCTCAGCAGTCTCTTCAAAAAGTGTGACAGAAGAACTGAGAAAAGGGTGTTAAAGTTTAAGAGTTTGATATGTCATGAATCAAGTTAATTTTACTTGATGACTTATGGTATAGTACTGAACGTAGGCAAAGAGCAACTGTAACAGCTGCTTGGGACTGGGCCATGACCTAATGTTCAATGCCAATAGGTTTAGATGCTAACATTATCTTTTATGCTAAAGAACAATAAAATGGAAAAATGTTGTCACAAAATGAAAAGAAAAAGAACAGATCACCTGATGTCTCCTGCTTGATCTTGATTCATTTCCAACTCTGGCAGCGAACAGTCCATCAGCTCTTGCGGTCTCTGATGCAACAAAGTCAATTCTTTTTTGTAGTTTTCTTCAGCAACAATTAACTTGTTTTCAAAATAAAGTCTCAGTTGTTCCAACTCAGCTTTGTGCTCCCTGTTTCTCTGCTGACGCTGCTGTTCAAACTCCTGTTTTAAACACTCAATTTCTTCCACCCGTGATGCTCGAGCCTGGAGCTGCTCTTTTAGCTCTGGAACAGAGGCAAAACCAACACAAGTACTAAGAATACATATATTTAGGATGTCATTCTGTGAAAATCAGATTTAGTTGCCAAGTGCTAGTGGTTTAGGAATGGCATTGTCCCATTAAAAAACACCACAAGCCATTCCCCTCTCAATGGGAGTCACAAAAGTCGGAGATCACAGGCTGAGGTAAGAATCAGGAAATCAGGAAATTGCAATGAGATAGAAAAAAATCAACTTCTGACAGGCAAACCTTAGAAGATATTCTCAGTTACACTGCACTCAGAGAAACCACCCTCATGCTAAGAATCAAAATCACCAGCACAGCTAGCTCTCCTCATTTTCTTGCAGTCCAGGACTAACCTGGTAACAAGCAAAGTCCTGCACTATTGCTTAATCTTCACACCTCCTTGCTGTTGTAGCACTTAAAAGCAATAAATTATTCAAGAACATTTAATCTGCTCCAGGTAAAACTATCCAAACAAAATCAAATTGAGCATAAACTGCAAAAAACCAAAAATCACAGGAAGGAAAATAAAATCAATTCTGGGTTACTTTAATGATGGTTTGCTACCCATCGTGTGCTCAGAGGCCGAACTGACTGAATTAAAAGAATCAGCCAATAAAACAGGAATGCAATAAAATGCAGCTACCAAGGCTGGTTCAGCAAAACTGCCCTCCTTTCAGAGAGTAAGAACAATGGCCAGCACTGCACCCTTTTCACTAGCCCTCTGAGAGCTTTCTTCCCCACCTTCTGTATTAAAGCTGCAGTGACATTTAGGTAAGTTAAAAGGTAGGTAAAAAGGGGAAAACAAATCTCAAGACAGATAAGCTTTCCCAATAGCTCAAGTTTCCAAATAATCCAAGTTAGTTAAATCCCCAAAGAATCAAGAGAGAAATAAATTTCACGAAGAAGGAAATTGGAGAAGTTCCTTAAAAAGAAACAACTTGCCTGGGGAAAAGCAGTTGCTTATGTTACATGAGAGAAATTTAGGAAACTTTGATGGAAACATAGGTGCCATCCAGGAGCAACACAACTGATTGTCACTATGAGATTTTGTGTAGCAAACCAGAAAATGCACTCATGGCATGAAAAACTGCTCACAATGAAAATGCAAACAGAAAGAGTAAGAGAAGAAATAAGTGTTCAAGGCCAGGTTGGATGGGGTTTAGATAGTGGAAGGTGTCCTGCCCATGGCAGGGGTTGGAAGCAAATGAGCTTTAGGGTCCCTTCCAACCCAAACCACTCCATGATTCCATAACTATGTATGGCAAGTCCATGGTTCAAGCCTGCTTCCTAAGGGAGAAACTGCCAGGCACAGGAACCAGAGGAATCAAGTGACAAGAAGGGACAAGTAACATCACAAATATGATAGGCAAAACAAGTCCAATCTGACATGGGTAGGTTTTGCCTAACCAGCAAAGTCTACTAGCACAAAATTACCCCAAAAGAGCGTTTCATTGTTTTGAACCGGCATGTCATTCTTACACCAGAGCAGCAATCCCATCATGCAGCTGCTATGGTTTGAATTCTATCATCAACCAAATGCATGGTCAAATCAGAACTCAAATGAAGAACAGCAGAGTAAAACACACCACCTTTAAGATCTCACACACCAAAAGAGATCCTCACCTGGACCATGGGTCTGCATTCTGGTCTCACCACCTTCAAGAAAGATGAGGAAACAGAAAGGGCTCCAAAGAATGGGATTGTGAATGATTAGAAACATAGAAAGACATGTGAAATTAGGGCTACAGAGACAAATTCCAGCAAATACTATCAAGTGCTATGTACTATAATTCTGTAATATTAAAACAAAAAGATGAAATAATCAAGGTAAACTCTGTCTAATAGAAAAAATTACTTATTTAGTGTATGACCAAACCAAACCCCTAATACAATTCAAAAGCTACCTGAAGTTATATTAGTCAGAATATCTGAAATAGCATTTGAAGTATGTTACATGTGCCTTCTGTTCTAACTATCCCAGCAGAACTCAAGAACCTCATGTTAGAGCCTCAACACAAGAACACTGGCAGAGTCATGATTTCTAGGTTCTTTTCCCCCAGAAGTTCTTCAGTGTGTTATACACGTCTGTGCACACATATCTAAGACATGTTGTATTTTATTTCAAAAGTGTATGACATCTCAACCCACTACACTGCAAAACTGGCTGTTTTATTTAATACATCTGGGTCTTGAAACAGAAATACAAACAGGAATATGTTATTGCACTGACCAGCATTTTCTCCAGTTTTTAACTACATGATACTTAATTTGACATTTCAATGAAAAACCTTTTGTTTTCACTAAATATTTTTATAGTGTGCAGGAATGGAGTGGGAAGGGAAAGGAAAAGCACAGGAGTTAGTTTTTCCCCACAATCACACCTTGCTTTTTGACACTGCAGAACCTGTCATCTGACACTAACTCACCTCAACCTAGAGACAAACCATTGGGCTACAACCCACTGACACTGTGGCCTTCCCGTGTGTTTCTGGTACTCAGCTAAAAGCATTTTGTGCCAATAATGTATACTTCTGTATGAAGAAGAGGAAAAAATAAAATGTGCCAGTTATGAACATACCACTTAGCTCTTGTCGATTTGCTCGGGTACTGTCAAGCTGAGACCAAAGCTGCCTGATTTCTTCTTGTGACTGAACCTTGAGTTGCTCATGTTTGACCTGAAGCTGGTCCAGCTACAAAAAAAAAAAACCATATTAAAACCAGAAAAAAAAAAACCCACCCCACTACAACTTGTTAAACTATTTTGTTCTCAGGGCTTATTTCACACTCAAGAGACACTTCTGTCAGATCTAGGTGGAAACAGTGACAACATCACTCTCAGCTCCTGACAGTATCAGAGCTACTAAGTAGCAGCATCTCTTAACTGTTACACCCACTCCTCTGAGAGGGAAGAATTTGCTCCTCATACAGTAAGTATCTTCACTGGCAAAAAAATAAGACATTAGCCAGATTTAAAAAAAAAAAATCTGAACCATAAAATTAGGAATATAAATATGGATGAAGAGATGGCACCAAATGGCACAAAGGCAACTGCATTCCAAAGGTTTTGAACTCCTGTGGATACTCCCAGACTATTTATCTGCATTATGCATTTTGCTTTTTCAGTAACATCCCTAAATACAAACAGATCATCCAAATGATATCTATATGGTCTAGGTTTTGTTACATAAAGAGGAATCAAGTACTCCAAACTACTAAAGAAATGTAATTTACCTCCTTCTGAAGATCCTGTTCTTTTTCCTGGCTTTTCATCTTTATGTCTTCTAGGATTTGATGATGTTCAGCCTGCAGCTGTTCTTGTAATTTTGTGATGGCTAACTGGTGTTGCCTCTCCAATTCTATACATTTCACTAAAATCAAAAATTAGTTCTGTTACTCCCTCATCCCGGTTAATGAATAACCTGTACAACTTCTGTGCAACACAAATAGAAATGCATGTCTCTAGCTTAAGCACTAGCTTTCAGGGAATCACAGACACGCTTCAACAGTAAAGTATTTGCAAGACAAACACTTCCATGCACTGCTTCACAGTTCTCTGCATCTCACATTGTTAGTTAGCCAACAAATAACCATTTGTTCCATTAAGCCTTAACTATCCACAATACAAATGCAGTTTTTTATTAGAAAAAGCTTCTAATAATATTAATCACAGTTTTGATTAACTCGGCAACTGTCAAAACAGGTTTTCAGATGGAAGCAAAACATCACCTCCCTTTAATATTCACCTCACATCTCATACTCTGTGGAAGTCAAAATGCAACAATGCTATTCAGGTTTTAAACCATTTTTCATTTACAACCTGTTGTCTAGACAGTCTCATGCCATCATCCCAGTTTTTAAATAAGTCTACATAAATACAGCTTGTATTTGCTTTTATACATCTGGTAAAATCACTTAGCTGTGACTCTGTTCAATAAAACAGCTGCCTCCCAGAGCATGATACTTACTTTTAGATTGTACATTCTCAACAGAAAGAAGCCCCAGCTCTGCTCTGACTTTTTCCAAATCCATTTCCAGAGATTTCTGCAGTGCAATCATCTCAGCCTGATGTTTTTTACACAGCTCCTCACACACATTTTGTAAACGTCTATCAGATTCTAATTTCCAGTCTCTTTTGAGGGTCTAAGAGAGTAAAACAGGCATTTTATTAAACATGTTTAGTAAACTAATGATTTTTTTCTCCATTCATTTGTCCTTTACAATAGCAGATCTGGGCCTTGTACCAGCTCTTGTTTTCAGAAAGGAGCTTCATTTTTTTCTTGTATAAAGAACAGAATTTGTACCTCTAGTGCCTGGATGTGTGTCTCTTCCATTTCCGATTCGATTTTCTTTCTCTGATCAACTGTGAAATAAAATACTTATTAATAAATTTACACAAAAAAGTATTAAATGGTAAGTAGAAATATGGATGAGATTAGTTTTCAACATCAAACTCAGGATTTAAATGGGCAGGCATAGAGCAGAGTAGGATGCTGGGTTCTATCTACACCTGCTGTTATGTTATATCCCACTAGTTCACTTCCATGTTAGAAAATAAGCATTGTAGAACTTAGAGCTGCAAAGACAACTCAGAAAGTAAAGTTCAATTTAATTAGTAAAGCCTGCTTAAGTCTAAGAGAACATGATACTAAGAAGAAAAATGACCCTAAAGATTCAAATTCAAATTACTATTGATGTCATTTCAACATTTCACTGCACATGACTATGAGCACAGAATTACCTCCAGAAAGAAAAAGCCTACCAGTAGCAGCAGGTAGGAAACTTGAAATTTCTTCTAAAAATGCCTAGGAAAAAAGACTACAAGACAGATGCCACTATCTGCTCAGTAATCACTGACACAACAGATTCTTCCTTTCCAGCTCCTCCCTTGATTAATTCCAGCTTTTCGTTTGGCCCGTTTTTTAATTTGCAGGAACCCTTTAAAGACCTATCAGCCATGTTGCCTAGGCTTATTTATAATATATAATAGTTTATAATATGCAACTATTATTTCAAGTCTTTCCATGGGAAAGGAAAACTTAGAGATTAAACCAGTATTAAGTTACATTGGTAAAACACACCTTAAAGCATTGAAATTAAGAACTATTAAGAACTGCATCTTGACCTCCTCCTCCTCCCAGATCCCACTATCAGTGCTATCAGTTCACTACACTACTGGTAGTAACAAATGGCTTCCTACTTTTAGGTCAAAAAGAGACAGCCTTAAATTAACATCCTCTTAGGGGAGGACAACTAAAAGAATGGCTTCTAAACCTTTTTTCAGAGCTCAGACTGTGATGAGCAGTCTAGCTGGAGGCCTGCAACAAGCAGTGCTCCCCATGGATCCATGTGAATACAAGGAAAAACTTCTTTACTGTGAGGGTGACAGACTCCTGTAACAGGCTGCCCAGAGAGGCCTTTTCCTCTGCAGATATTCAAAACATGCCTGGACACAAACCTGTGCAAATTGCTCTGGGTGAACCTGCTCTAGTAGGTGATCTCCAGAGAGCCCTTCCACCTCAACCAGCCTGTGATTCTCTAAACTTCTTCAGCGAGGTGCTGCAAGATTCACCTTTTTCCAGAAATCCCTCAAGCTCTGCCATACAGGTCAAAAGTGGTCTGACCTGGAAAGGGGGAAATTTCCCAAACAATGCCAAGAGCATCATTAGCAGGCCTTCAGTACTATGAGATGCAAATGCCTTCTTGCTTATACCAAAATACAGTCTTATAGGAAGTGCAGCTCAAAGGACACCCAGCTACAGGTTCTCACTGAGCCTTTCAACTCCTAACACAGAGGGTAAGCCAGGAAGCATTCACATATCTTCTCAAAAAAATAAGAGAGTGCTGACTTGGGGCAAGAAAAACCCTGACAAAACATAAAGCTCTACTCTTTGCACGGATCAAATTCTTTATGAGAACTTGGTCTAAAGCCTCCTGAAAGAAAGTTGTTCCGTTTAGCACTAATTGACAGATGAAGAACAATTAAACTTAAGTCTTCACAGCTTCATTTTCATATATAAAACGTGCACTCTTGCACATGGCAGTCCTGCCCATATTACAGGTAAAACCAGCTGCTATTCACAGGCCAGCTCTACACTAAGACAGGAATCTATGCAAGAAGAAAATACTTATTCCCCAGTTTTAATACCTAGCTCTTGCTGATACTTGGACTTAAGGTCTTCTTTTTCCTTCAGACACTGTTCTTTGATCTTCTCCCACTCCAGCTGGTGGCGGCTTTGCAGAATGGCTACCTCCTGAGCACGTTTGTCATTGAGCATCTCCCGCAGCTCCATGAGGGCAGTCTCCTTCTCCTTCCTCAAGTTGGACTGTGTAAGCTCCAGCTGAGAGGTGTGCATATTGTTTAAGGTCAGGCGTAAAGCTTCCAGTTCAAGGCTGTGCAGTGTCTGTAGTGGAGTAAAAAAGGGTTTCTCCCTCCCCTCTAATGAAATGTGCTCACTTTTTCATTACTAGTTTCAGTTTTGACAGTTAAACCCATCTAGTTTTGCCCTTCTGTACTTGCAGAATGTTTCTTTGTGGCAAGAATCCTTAAAATAAGCTGCTATAATGATATTTGAATGTTTTCAGTACAATGTAAAAGGCTTTCCTTACCTGCCTCTTAATTTCCTACAAAATATCCTGTATCTGTCCACTTCCTCACATCAAAGTAGAACACAAGTTCACTCCAGCTCATCACTGTCTATTGAAAGAATTCCTTATGTTTGCTGTTGGTTATAATTTGTTAACAAAGTAAAGTTCTAAGTGATATTGGAGAAGTAGAAATAAAATTCACCACTTCTCAATTCTTAAGTAAACTAACCAGTGTACCAACAGGTTATAATTAGACCTAACACTAGACATACTGTTTCCCTTTCCACTCGCATTTAGTGGAAGTGTTCAAAAACCCAGGAAATGTATAGATGTAAAAGTCATGTTTTCACGCTTCAGCTTAGCAAGAAAGTATTTGTAATTATTAATAGTGGGATAATTAAAAAGTGGGAGGGGCTTATATACTTTATAAAATTTACTTTAAACTTGCCAAGACAAAAAATTAGAGCTGTATTTTCTCTCTTAAAATCATCTATTTAAACATCCAGTTCTCTTCAGAATGAATGTTAAAATATAATTAATGTTAAAATATATATAAAATAAATAAAATATAATATAATATAAAGTGGGGATTCTGGAGAACTCCTCTAAAATATATCTACTACCACCCACCAGGAGACATTCCTTTTCATTTGGCTGCAGCACCGTGTGAAAGAGCATGTGTGATATCCACAAAAATTAAGGTGAAGGCTCCTTGATTTCTGTGTATGCTAGAAATCATCAAGTCAGCTAAGAACTATATTAATCACTGTGAGATTCCCTGTTTTTACCTGGGATTGGAGCTGAGCTTGCTCATGCTCTGCTCTGTGTGTGGCTGCCATTTGCTGCCGGAGTTCATCCAAAAGGTGCCTCTGTTCCTCCTTTAGCTCAGCACGGAGCTTCTCCATTTCCTCTGAGTGTTTAGCAGCCAGCTCAGAGATTTCCCGATCATGCTCCCGTTCATGAACCTGCAGAGAATACTCAGATGAAAAGCTTTCTTCAAAATATGCTTGTTTAGCCCTAATTATGGAACAAGAATTTTCACTCCTCCTGACCCCAAATCAAAAACTTCACGGACAAAAAACAATAAAAAGAATTTCACGTCTCTAAAATGTTTGCACTGCTCACATGACAATGCAAAATTATTTTTCCAAAATAAACCAAATTACAGCGTGTACCTTTTTTATTACAGCAATCTCTTCCTTTCTTTTTTCTTCCAACTTCTGTTGTTCTTCCACTTTGTCTTTTATTTCAGCATTTAACGCTTCAATCTGAAAACAGGCATACAAATATTTGCAATGGCTACCTTAAGCATTCCAAAATCCCATGACTCCTGCAGTTATCAGGGTTTCCTACCTCTCTCTCGTGTGCCAAACTCACTTCAGTTAATTCAGCAAGGTGCTGAGTCTCCATCTTATCCATTTCTTCTCTGTAATGCTTCTCCATCTTGGACTGAGCCTCCTGGGCAGCCTGACAGGACTCCTGCAAGCGAGCCTCAAGCTCCAAATGAGCCTTTTTCAACTGGGCAATTTCTTCAGTCAACTGGCCTTTTTCCTCACTGTATTCAGTAGTCTTTTCCTTTATTTCAGCAGTAAGTTTATTAATTTCTTGGTTGCTGATGTTTAACTTGTCTTCATAGCTCAGTCTTTCACACTCCTGTATTTCTTTGATGTTTTTCATTTCAGCATTAAGCTCATGGATGTTTTTCTCAAGGTTCTCAAGGATGCTAGCATTCTCTGCTAGTGCTTTTTCTGCTTTCAATAGATCCTCCTCCACATTGGATAGTCTCTCTCTTAAAGCTGTTTTTTCCTTCAATAAAAGTACTAAATTTTGTTCTTTATTATTGATTTCAGCTTTGAGCAACTCCAGTTCTTTTAGCAATGTCTCTTCAGATATGGTTTTCTGACTCAACAGTTCTGCTATTCTCTGGTTTTTAGCCTTCTGAGCATTAAGCTGGCTTTCCATCCCATCCCTTTGACTTTGCAAAGCTGCCAGCTGGCGGCCAAAAAGAGCCTGCACTTCACTTGTCACAGAATCAGAAGCTGTTTTCTGCTCCTGAGCATCTCTCCCTAACTGCTCCTGAGTCGGCAGCTGCATCATCAACATTTCTCTTTGCCCCTGGAGGTCTTTCATCATTTCTAGCCAGATAGAGTAGAATGACACTTGTGTTAGAGCCGGCTGGCCTCCATCCTCACCCTGCTGCTTTACTAGAAGCATGTGTTTATTTTCAAGTTCTTTGTCCTTCTCCATTTCCTGAAGAAGTTCTTTTTCACAATGGATCCGTGCTTCATGTTCTTCCTCCAGTTTTGCATGCATATGGGAGAGTTCAGACATGGCTTTTTCCCAATTTCCAACAGCTTCTTGGGTGTCCTGATAAGGCATTATCAAGGCTGACTCCTGATGGAGCATCTCAGCTGGCTTCAAATGTCTCTCTGCCAAACACATCATTTCATCACCCTCTATGTCACTGTGCTCTCCAATTTTGTTTTGCTGCAGGGAGCCATCTGGCACATATGAAACAAAGGCCTCTGCTCTCACCTCTGCCCCTTCAAAAATGTCTTGAGCCAAGCCACTAAGACACGTCCCCTCCTCAAGGCTAGAGTTTAACGGAGAAGATACAAAATTTCTGCTGGGTTCTAGGAGCACACTGTTATCTAAGCCATACATACTGCATCTGCCCTCTTCAATGGCATGGCCCTCCGAAGAGCTGGACCCATAGGAGTCTTCTGGAGTTTCTGTGGAAACGAGGTATTTAGCCAATATACCTTCATCACCACTGAAAAGCCCCAACTCTGACAAAGGTCCTTCAGACAGGTTCTCCCCTTCACCACTTCCATTATCCTTCATGATCTCTAAATTCTTTGTTTCTTCTAACTGATCCCTTGAGGAGTCATACTGGAACTCCAGTTCTGGCTGAAGCACTGGCTCATCTCTACCTTCCAACAGGTTTGCTCTGTCCCACATCTCCTCAAGATCCACTCCCTGCAACTGAGACATCCCTGATAAAATCTGATTTTCCCTCAATTCCAGTAACTTTTTATTGGAGACAATCTCTCCATCATGCTTTTGCCTTACATCTATAGGTTTTTTAGCCTCATAAAGTTGCTTTTCATTTAATTCCTGGATGTAGGAATTCAGCTTCTGAATCTCTTCATTCAAGGACTGTTTTTCTTTTTTATATCGCTGGGCTTCCTTCACTTCCTCTTCTGCATAAGAAAGTTGATACTTAAGGCCATCAATTACATCCTTGTATTTAGTTTCCATTTCAGATTTTTCCCTGTTAAACCTTTCTTGTTGGTTTTCAAGTTTCTTCCTCAAATTTTCTTTACTAATTTCAGATTCTCGAAGCCTTACATTTAAGTCAATTATTATGCCATTCAAATTCTGAATGTGTTCTTCAGAATTCAAAGCACAGAGTTCTTTCTTTAACTGTTCAAGTTCATTTTTATATTTTAAAATAATTTCTTCTTCATAGACTTGCTTGGCTTCTGCAATCTCTCTTCTGTGGCACTTCTCCAGCTCATTCCTCAAGTTATCCAACTGTCTGCAAATATCCTTCTCATAACTGATTTTCAGTTCTTCAATATGTTGCTGCTCTTTCACTTTGGATAAAGCAATTTCTTTTTTTAATTCTGTTATTTCTGAGTCCCGGAGAGAAAGTGTGTGCTGTAGTATAGACAAGCCAAATCTTTCTGATGTCAGTAGATCTTGAAGACTTTTAATAAATTGTTCTTTTTCATCTATGTTTTTGTGTAGCTTTTGCATTGAATCTTTCATATCCTCTTCCATTTGGGCAAGCAGATTTTCTTTATCTTTGGTATTCTTAAAAATAAAACATTACATATAAAATATGCCATTATTTCATTTCCTTAAACCTCATGGTTTTAATTTGCATTCAGAAATAACAACATTTAAGGTTTCTATTTATGGCACTACTAGTTACACTCTTAAAGGAAACCAGACATTAAGTTGTTTCATTAATGTATTTTAGTCATCACAATCCCTATATATTTATTTCTATATTATAAGATTTCTTTAAGAATATGTCACTACAGCAAATTTGAGTTACCATCAAAGTTGAACTAATTTAACAAAAAAAGGTATGTTTTTACCTTTTGAGAAGACTCCAGCTGCACTTCCAGGTCATGTGCTTTCTCACGCAGTATCTCCAAGTGTGCATTTTGCTCTCTGAGACGATCCTGAAACAAGGACATTTGCTGATGGGCTTCTAAACCTTCGTTTTTCCTGAGACTTTTACTCCTCAGTAGCTCAGTAACCTGAACACATAAAAGGCACTCACAGTCAAGAGAAAGTTTATATCCAAACAAGTCATACACAAAACTCACTGTAAGCAAATGTATTTACAGATTTATCCTAAATCTTTCATTCTCAAGGAATAAAAATCATCCTTAAAAGGTAGACAGCGCTTGTTATGTTTTAGGTACTATTACATAATGAAAAGATGCAAATGTTAGATAACTCATCCCTATGGTGAATTTTCTAATATTATGATCCTATAAATCTAGCATAATAAATCACACTGAATTCCTCCAATACAAAGCAGAACTTCCAATGGACTGGACATGCCATTAAGAGGACAATGAACAAAACCAGTCTTCCCTGCAAAGGATTTACAGCTCATTACTAAAGGTTGGTTTCTTCTTCTCCACATCCCTTCAAATGAAACATTTCTCCCATCAGGGCAATATAAAATATGTTTTATTTAATATATATTTCTCAGTATATTGTTAAAACCAAGGAAGAATATGGAAGACAGTATTAATGCTTTCCTCTGTTATCAAAGTTGACATCTTTCCTCCATCTTAGAATTTCTGACCCCCACGTACAAAGCAACAACCCCCCTGTAGAGGTGCTAAAACCCCCTGTACAATACTAAAAAAATTCCCCTCTACTTTGTAACTACTTTTACTATACTATCTAACCCTTTGTGACTGCTTGTTCCACCTTTAAAGTTGGTAATTCATTCCATGGCTCAAACTCAAAATCACAGCTGTTTCCAGCTGCCTGCCAGGGTCTGAAATGCTTCTGACCAAGGCCTGGAACCTCTAAAAATGCCTGAGGGACATTTTGAGCTCCCACATCTTTCCACAATGTGCATCATCTCACTAGACATATTTAGAATATGCCTGAAATGCTGTTGAGGCTTGATCCTTGTCTTTCAATGGCTTATGGTGCAAATCCCAAACAGCTGTTGAGTAGCCTTCACTTTTACCACATTTTGCTGTTGCAACCAGAACTATAGGTAGAAAGCAGTATTTTTTGTTATTTTCCAAAATTTTGTTTAGCAGACATTTTTCAGGGCATAAGCAACTTTAAGATAATTCCTGGACTAAAAAGTCTCAGTTTTATTTTTTAAAATTTTTTAACCCCTTTCCCATCCAGACTTTTACAATATGCAATCCCATATCCTGCAAACCTGAAACAGTTACTATACATTAACATTTCTCTTTGGCATATACTACAAGGCTCCAAGGACAACAAATAAATAGGTTCAGAAAGAATAGCCACTAGAACACTGAGCATCACCAAGAAAGAAAAGAGCACTTATTAAAATACATTTTAAAGCAGAGAAAGGCTGCAGTTTATCTCATTATCCAGGGATTAGATCCACGGTCAACCTGTTGCACTGAACCAGGTTCCCATGTGTAACTTTAAAATTTCTTTCTTTGAGCCAAGTCACATTACGTCAGCACACCAAGTTTCTGTCTAACAGCTGAGATGTTCCAGCTGCCCAAGCAGAAACTCACAGATTTCTCCGACAAAGAACAAATGATGACATACAAACCCAAACTATATAGCAACAGTTGTGTACATGCCACAAAACACTTGTGGCAGGACATTCCCCCACCACAGAAGGGCTGATCTGTTCTGCCTATCAGCTGGTGCAATAGCTCAGGGTATCCTTCCCCTCACAAGAATTTGCTAATTGGTGAAATATCTCAGGCCAGACATCTGTCTGGTAGTGAGATATTTCTGGCATCATGGAGGTGGCATTCCCAGCTGACAATAAACATCTTGCCTTGGGAGAGAGATTGAAGGAAGATAAGCTTGAATTTCTGACTGACAGACACTTAACTCCACAAACTATAAAAGCTACACCAAATTTTTACATGGCAGAAGTCTTCTGCATGTTCTGTGGAAACAAGTGGGGCCCTTCCCCGAAGCTGAGATGTCACTTTGTGGTTATTCTCTTGGGGGTTGAGTGAAAGCAATCTCTGTACCTCATCATCAGTTTGGTGATAAGTTACATTAACTCCTAATCTATACTATTTTTTTGCTAGCTATAACATAGGTATCTTTATGTTGTGCACTGTTTTATGTAATCTACTAGTAGTTGTTTTAACCTGTTTAAGGGCATTTGTCTGTTCATCTTCTGCCTATTCAGTAAATAACTCATTTTATGATAGACTTGATCTGCAGTTCTTAAGAACTCACAGGCCAAAGCAGTTTAGGTGTGCCTTACCTAAAAAATCTGAACCTAAGGCATGCCTTGTCTAATGCTTGCACTCAACCCATAACACTGCTAACAATGTCGTGCAAAATTCCTTATCAAGGGCTTAAGTGATGAACAAAGAAGTGCAATGACCTTCAAAACATTATGCAAGTGGAAAATCTGAAGATATTTCCAGGACTTCCCCGTAGCAAGCAGGAAAAAACCCTGCCCTGCCCTGAAATAATTTTCACTGCTGTGCTACAAACTGAACTATGAGGAGCTACATGATCAGCTCAATGTTTTTACATTCACAGTCTAAAGTTCTTCTTGCAGTCTCTGTCAAAACATGCAAACTGGAGGAGAGGCACACCTGATGTAACTGGAGCTGTAAATCATGGATCTGACGAGCCACACGTGAAGCCTCCTCCTGTAGCTCATCCCGGTCTTTCTTGGCCTGTTGAAGGCAGGTTGTTAACTTCCTGATGATTTCATTCTGCTCCTGAACTGTTGTTTCCTACAGGGGTCAGAAGGAGTGCACTTTTAACATTAAGTTATTCTTAACATATTTGGAACCAAGAAGCTTTTCTTGATGCAGAGCCATTATAGTCTGTAGTTACATTTCAGCTTTAACCGACTTGCATCAAAGAAGTCTGTGTCCAAACACGATGGCAGGCATGATGGAAGAGGAGTCTTAAACTGATCACAGAGATGACACACCTAATCAAAAGTGATTTTAAAAACAAATGATGGGATGCCAGCAATGAAATTGGTATTTTTACTTCCAAATTTGTAGCTTTTATTGATGTAAAAAGGAATCAAGTTTTCAGATAGGATATAATGACTATTTAGTACACCCCAAATAGTTTCCTATCTGCCAGCAATTCCCTTCAGTCATGTGAGAAAAAGCTAATGAGATGGGATACATTAATCCTATCCTATGTTAATCACATTTATCTTTTAATTTATTTTTCACCAACAGGAAATGCGTATTTCCCCAATCCAAGAATGAGAAAAAGAACATATAAAGGGGAAATTAACTAGTCTTAGAAAGCACCTGGTAATAATTTACCTTTACATAGAACTGCTAGAGAAAGGGAATGCAAAATATTATTTTTTTTCATATTCTGGGAGAGTTGCACTACATGTTAGCCAGGTGAAGTACTTCTCACTAAAAACCAATAGGTTTTTCAGTGTTGTGGCCTAAATATTTTTAGGATTAAAGTAAGGTACTATTATCCCATTACTCAATTCTGTCAAACATACCTGAAGCTGCATGGAATCGTTGTGCTGGGTGAGTTGGTCCTGCAGCTCATCCATCTGTACAGTGAGTCTTTCCACTGCTTCCTGTTTCTCCAGCAGCCTGCTCTCCAGCTCAGCTATCCTTGCCTGACACATCTGAGCATCAGCCTCGCTGTATTCTGCAGCAGAATTTATCCTATCTTTCTTCATAAAGGAAACAAATGCATTTATTCACTAAAAATACCATTTCTGGTTTGTGATTAGTCTGAAAACAAATTCACCTTTAAGGTTAAGTCCTGGGCAAATTCTAATTTAAAAGTAACTCAACGCTGGGACTTTGTATCTAATAGAAACATTACATACATAAAATCCTTAAGGCTTAAAAATTTCAAATTAAAAATTATCATAGATAATACATTTTCACGATAGTTTAAGGCACAAAAGTCAAGTAAAAGTTTTGTGATTCTATAGAACCAAATGGTGGCAACATGCCATTTTGGCATGTATTGGGATTTAAATACCTCAAGTTGTGAGGAAGGAAGCAGAATACTACTAATTTAAACAAAGGCTTTACATCCATCTGACAGGAGAACAGTCCACCCAAATAAGAAACAACAATGTTAAAGCTCTCCAATTAAAATGAAATTTCTGTGGTTTCTTAGGAGCAACATTGTTACAATCATCATAGAGGATACAGTATCTTGTATTTTATTTTTAATACTTTTTGGTTGTATTGTATGAAATAATGAAAGCTGAACCCAAGTATCAATTGGAAGCATTAAAAACATTCAAGTTTCTCTGGGCATAATATGATTTTACAAAACCCAATTTTCTTAGCAACCAATTTTCACAGCCAGTACATGTACAGAAAATTGCCTGTTTTATACCATAAAACACTGACATCACATCAGTTTCATCATATTTGATAATCATTTTAGCAACAAGTTATCAGTCTTCTTCAAGGCCTACCCAGCATCTTTTACTAAAGATACACCTTTTCACACTTACTTCAGTTGCATGATCATCCAGTGGCTCCCAGCTAAACAAATCAGTGCTGCCCTGGTAAATAAACAAATAAAACAAACACTAAATCATAGCTATTTTAAATAAAAATAAGGAAAAACAATTATTTTGGAAGCATCTTAAGCATGAACCAGAAAGGTCTGTGTTGTGAGAAACTGATTTTATGATAAATCCAGCTGGTGTTTCATGGTGAAATGAACTAAACAAACAAACGTATTATAATGTCCACTTAAATGTAGGGCTAAGCCTCAACACTGATTCAATGCTTGATCCTCTGCTGTTGTAGCTTGCAAACAATCTTTATTCTACTACTAAAAATTAGTAAACTGACAGGAGATTATTTAACACACGTGCTAAAACCATTCAAGTAATCACAAAAGCAACACCTTTTTCTGACACACAGATTTAACATAGCTCAATACCTTGAAAGGTGTTTTCCTCTCACTAAATTCAAGACCAAGATCACTATGGCATTATCTGGAAAAGGCAGTCCACAGCTCTCTCTGCATTTTGAGTCTGCTTGAAGTAGTTCCCAATGATTACTGTCTCCCTGGAGGCACCCTCTCCAGGTAACCTAGAATTCCAGTTGCATTCCAAACCAGTATTTTGAAAAAAGCTGCTTAGCAGCAGTAAGTGATTTTTGTTTGTTTTTTTAATTTAAGCTCACAGAAATGTAGCAAGGACACTGCTGTGGCTGAGTGACAGAATACTGTATTTTTCCTCAGTGTATAGCTTCATAAAAGCCTTTGCAATGCTAACATTTTGTACAAGATATCCTGAAAGCATAAGGGATACCCTCACAACAGAAAGCAGGATAACACACACAAATTTTATCCTCCATCATTGCAGGTTTGCAAACACATTAGTTTGATGCTACTTTGTATGTTGTGAAAACATACCAACATCTGGTGAGATGCTTTTGGTGCAGAAGGCACCAACTCCCCAGAATTCTTTCCACAAGAACATGATTCCTTTAGAGAGCCATCAGTACATACACACCAAATCCATCAGACACAATCAGAGTCGCACCTCAAACAAATCAGTGGAAATAACATCTATACTGGCTTTACAATGGCTACGAGAGCTCGCTGGAATAAATTATAGTTTTTCAAAAAACATTTAAGCATATTTGAGCCAGCCAAGTGATACAAAACCAAGTGAATGGTGTGCATTACAAGGTCCTGACAGTTTTTAATCTGTTGATCTCCCAATCCAGATTTGCTATTTCATGAATTCACAGCCACATAACCATAGGTCTGCCCAAAGAGAAGACCATGGCAGTGAAAGGTGAAAAGCTTTAATTTAGGAGGCTAACAGCTCCCGGGCAATAACAGCTGCCCAGGCCATACTGTGGAGATGCCTTAGTAAATGAGATGGCTTTGTTACAGAATGAACTATTACAAGTGAAAATAACACCAGTTCACTTACCTCCCAGGGACAGCTAGTGGCCAGTGAGCTAACACTCAACTGAGTCAAACTACCACCTGCAACACTTGTTACCTGCAGAGGGAGTGAAGGCAAGAAATACTAAAATTTACCTGTGCCTCCGTTGCTGCCTCTGGCAGGTTGGTGTCTTCAGCCTGACCCTCTAGACCCTTGCCAGCATCTCTGGCTGCTACTGGGTGCTCTTCCTTCGGAAGGTCATGCGTGTGGACAGCCGAGCCCTTCCTCTTCGCCGCCTTTTTCTGCGACTGCGCGACGTCGCCCTTTGCTTTTCGCTGTCTGAAGTAAGCAAACTGTTCAGGAAAGATTGCAAGAGGTACAGGGAGAGGTAAGCAAGGAAAAAGTAGCAGGACCACAAGATTAACACAGTCATGGGTGACAGAGCTCCTGTCTTGATAAAATATATACATCTGCAGAAAAACTGCTTTATCTGCCTACTTGCCACACATTCACAACATACTGGATAACTGTGCCATTAAGCAACAAATCTCACACCAGCACTAAAGGCTCATTTCCACACAAGAATCAAAGTTTTACTCAGTGAAACTTTGTGTGTCAATAATAATAATAATCCAGATTTACAGCAAGACGAATTACTAAAGGAACGAGTTGTCAATATAGTAGAAGCATTAGGAAAAAATAATAATTGAGCAGTCTTTCTGCAAGACAAGCAAAAACAAGAACTCCCTTGTCATGGTACCAGAACCAGCACACTCCTACAAATACATCTAAACAGGTCTTAGCCAGCGTAAGCTTTGAAATGAGGATTCACTTCCGTTAATTTTAATGCTCCTTCCTTGCCACCCCCTTAAGAGAACACAGCAAAACTTCTTCGCCAGAAAGCAGCCTCCAGTACATAAATAGAAAATCAATTAAGCCAGGTCATTTTAATTTCTTCTGTTGAAGAATCAGATGCTCTACTTTATCAGGCTATCACAGCTCTACAAAGCCCCAGGGACTTGTAAAGAATGTCACTGACAATTTATTACCCAACTCTCCCTAACACCCTAAACAGCTTAAAAAGGATTATTGTTATTTTCAACTCTAGTATTGCATTAAGGCAGCATTTCCAAGTAACATCTCCCCCACAGCAGAAATCCAGGTATCCTTCTCATAAGGAAAAAGACATCTTAAAGGTTAAGATCATGAATTATCAAGTGCATGTTGTATCCTTGGGATGAGACAAAACAGATAGTTAACTGATGACTGGATGTAAACATCACTGCCAAGTTCTACCTGCAATACATATGAAAATCCACTGCTTAACAGCTTTGTTTTCCTGTCAAACAGCCACCGTGCAGAAAAATCTTGTTCTATTCATCTCATTCAGTTTGTGAAAAGGATCTAGTTCTGTCCCCTCTCCTTACAGGAACTTCTACCTGACAGCTTAGCTATTCAACAGGTGCAGACCCACACATCTGCTACAACCAGCAGCCTGTTTAAAAGGTACCTTGCAGAAAGACATCAATTTCTTATGAGCTGATAAAATTCTTATGTACAAAAAACTTATTTCTAAGATTGTCTTCTGTAATTTCTACAGTTAGTAATACTGAAATGCAGATTAAGTGAAGGTTACCAGACTTGTGCCTTTCATAATAAGCAGGATGAACAGACCATAAAGCTGCAATGGGATACAAATACTGTCCTCTGAAACCAGGTGTCAACTCCAGCACTTACTGATGGCAGTGTGTGTCAAAAATAGCTACAGCACTAATTAACCTGGTAACATGGGGAAACGAGGCAGGAGGAAACCTGCAGAAAAATGGAGAGTAGAGAAAACTGCTGAAGCAGGGAAAAAGGGAAAACAGGAGTAAAACAAGCAGAAAAGATGAAAGGCAGAGAGAGTAAGCATTACAGAGAGGACTTACTGATTCATGAAGGGAGACCAAGTATCTCGTATGAAAATATCAAGACGTGGCATGACTGAACATCTAAACACTAAACATTTTTAAATGTACAGGTCAAGGGAAACAAAACTTGCTTTGTTCCATTCACAAGCACTAAGCACATAAAATCATAATACATTACATGCAAAAATGTCTAGCTACACCAAAATATACCAAAATACTGGACTTAGAGTGGCTGGATTCAAACATGCTCCAGATTTATGGAAAAAGTTCTATTTAGAGCAATATCCAGTTTCCAAAGCCTTTATCAGCTACATAAAGTGTTGTTGTAAGAGAATCTCAAATTCACAGACAGCCTCCAACCTGAAGTAGTGAGTGTGAATGTGAAGAAAGTAACACACAAGTGCCTCTGCCTCATCACAGTGAGATCCCATCATGCCCGTTTTGAGTGATTCAACACTCCTTTTGCTTTCTAGAAGCAATGCAAATGTGAAAGCTTCACTTTTAGCCAAGATGCAGCATTGCCACAGGAGCCCTGAGAGCACTGTCCTGCACAGCATCCCAAGCAGCTGTTGAAACACAAGGACACCTTTCTATAGGTACCAATGCACTGCAACTTCAATTCACCAGGACCAGCTGGTTAAAAGCTGATGCATTACTTCACATGCTTCAGAAATTAGCATCAAAACCAACACCCAGAGAAAACAGAACAGAGCAGAAAACCACATCAGCACCAAACAGAAAAGAGGTTGTTCAAATAAACATTAGTCCAGCTCTTGGATACAGCAAACATAAGCAACAAGTACTCTTAGACAAAACCAATAAATACATTCTAGACCTTCCTCAAAATGATGAGAAAACTTCCTGGAAAACCTGCACTCATTTTTAAGGTCCTAACTATAAAATGGAAGCAGAGCAAAACTTGCCACACCTGAAGTGTGGCACAGAGAGCTTTGTAACTAGAGGCACAGGTGGTCAACATGCAGACTAATTAATGTGAGGTAGAAACAAACGAGGAGAAAAAAGCAGCACTGAATAATTAGGCTTGTTCTGTTTCTCAAATACTAAACTGGCTATCAGTATTTTGCATTTGTTAGAAATAGGAATCTGAGGTACCTGATACAGTCAGGTACTTAGCTGCCAATTACAGTCTCCAATAAATATAACAGTTACATTACAAATATAACAGTTACATTACAAATATAACAGTTACATTACAAATATNAAATATAACAGTTACATTACAAATATAACAGTTACATTACAAATATAACAGTTACATTACAAATATTATTAGGTGATCATTTAAATGCATCTTAATAATGGAATTTTTATTCCTATAAGAAAAAGAACATTTGATAATGAAAAGGAGAACATGTAGATCATGTTTCTTTGCCAAGTCATTGCTTAGCAGACTAAAATCTAAGGATGCCAAAGATGAAATAATTCATTTCTGGAGGGTGGGGGTGAGGCAAAAAGCCCTCCAGAGTGAAGCAGCATCAACCTGCAGTTACATCAGTGCACAGGTTGCTACAACAGAGGCCTCTAACACACAAGCCAGCCTCACTCCTGCCAGGAGCTCCTCTAGAGATGGTACAGAAAGCTGATCTGATGGACACTGAACACTTCTGTGTCACACCAGAGATGGATCTCCTTAAGCTGCTCTAGGCTGCACCACAGCAAGGAGAACCTGCACTTGCTCACAATTCTTCCTCCCTTTCAAAACTGTGCTATATCCATGAGGAGGGGAGCAGAAAGAAAAATAGAAAAATGAAAAGCAGAGGAATAAGAAAGGGGAAATGTCACCTGGGTGCTTTTTGAAAGCTGTCTGGTGCCCACAGTCTGCCAGCCAAGGAATAGATCTCTGTGACATTTTAATCAGCAGGGGAAGTGCTACATCTATCTCTGCCTCTCTAAAACTCTCCCTCTCCTCTTAGCATTCTGTGCAGCAGCAACACTGATGGGGCTGCCAATCATGTTTGTTCCTGGTTTGCTTTTTGTTTTTAATGGGAAGAGAGATTTAGCACACAGTATAAAAAATAGTAAATGCAATCCTGGCTCTGAAGGCAAAACTTGAAACATAAGAACATAAGGCAAGTCCCTGTTTGGTTTTTTTTTTTGTTTCTTTTACTGGTAAACAACAGTTTGCCAACAGGTGGGAACTAATAACTTACTCAAGCTAAGTCTGTCACATTTTTCTAATAATAAAAAAACTCCTGCACCTGGAATTAATCTATGTTAACAGAAATGTTAACACAGGTTGTGCCATACTAAGGTAACCTTTCAACCTTAAGAAATCCTTTCAGAGCTCTCTCTCTGGAGCAGTTGCTCTCCAGCAGAGGATTGTGTTCTCACAGCACATAACAAGGCTAGGAAGGCAGGCAGATGAGAAACTGCTGAGCAGGAGCAGGCAGTGTGGAATCCATGGCAGCATCAGGGAGGGCAGGAGGAACTCTACTGCCCATCACCAGGCTGCAGCTTCAGCTACAACCCTGCTCCCTTCCACAAAAGCTCTCTTTGACTTTCCTGTGCACAGCACTGTGGAAAGCAGCTAAAACAGAAATACAGCAGACACACAGGACAGCTCCAAGCCACGTCTGACTCCACTAGCCAGATATCCAGACAGGTTCCCTGCAAAAAGTAAAGGATCTGGAAAGATCTGATGGGTCACAACTTCCTCTAGCTACAGCCCCCTCCAGTCTAATGGAATGGTGAGAACTAAAAAGCCTTATTTAGCAGGGACAGCCAGAACAGAAACATGACAAAACCAGCTCAAAACCCAGCAGAAATGCTGAACTGAAAGGAAAATAACCAAACATTTCCAATCAGCTCCTTGAACATAGTTACCAAAACAAAGCAGAAGTGTTTATCTAACGGGGTTAGAACACAACCAGCGTTAAACACATGGTTGCAGGTAATAATTACTTGGAGAGTGTTATCTTTATATCCTGTGAACGCTACACAAGTCCCTAAACTACACCCCAGTGAAGACACCTGACTATTCAAAGCTTATGAAGTGTTTGCTTCCGGCATGACTGGAAACCAACAAACGGAGCCCAGCTCTCTGCTCTCCCTGCGGGCACCAGGCAAGCGAGTGAGCCGGCCGAGTAATAAACCAGCACCCGCTCCCTGGGACCCTCAGCTGGAAACGCAGCATTCCCACAAACACCGAATCCTGGGCAAAACCGGGAGCGCTGGCAGGCAGCAAAGAACAAGCACGGAAAACAGAGCCCGAAGGGCGGTAGGAGCGCTGCTGTCAGCTGCTCTGTCGGCCCGAGGCAATGTTTGCACGACTTCTACCGCGGGGCCACCGCGGTCCTTCCTCTGGGGACGTCTGCTCATTAACGGGGGGCCAGCCACACACGGAATCTTGCTGGAAGGGATCTGCAGGGGACACAGCCGGGCCGGCGCCCCGCACCCACATCCGAGCGCGGCGCGAAACCCGCCACGGAGGAGCGAGACCCGGGCCGGGTAAAGCGAAACACGCAGGGCCTGCCGGCTCTCCCAGCGCACCGGGACCCCTTCCCCTCACCTTAGCCCTGCCTGCCTCCAGCTTGCGCCGCCGCACCTCCTCCGGCGCCTCCATGCGGCGGCCGGGCCGGGTCGCGCCGCCCGCGCCCTCACGGCGGCAGCGCAGCCCCGGTCATGGCAGCGCAGCCCCGGTCATGGCCGCCGCCGCCGCCGCCGCGCCGGCCGCACCGCGCGGGCGGAGCTCCGCAGCCATTGGCCGCAGCTCCCGACGCGCCGCGGCCTCTGGCCAATGGGGACGGCTCTCTTCGCCGGGCTCCGCCCACTCCTGCTAAATGGCTGCTGGGATACCCCGGGCAAGCCGGCGCCAGCCGCCGGCCCCGCCCCCCCCGCGGCAGCCACCAATGGGAGCGCCCGGCGCCATTTCAAAAGGAGCGCCGTCCCCGCCCAGCGCGGGAGCCAGCCAATGGGGAGCGCGGACAGCCAATGGGAAGCGCGGACAGCCAATGGGAAGCGCGGGCAGCCAATAGGAAGCGCGGACAGCCAATGTAGGCGGGGCTGCGGCTGCCATTATGGCGCAGCGAGGGTTGGTGGCTCCCTTCCTGCCTTTTCGCTTATTTGTAAATTTTCGGTGAAGAAATCAGTTAATGGCCATGGGTTCTGAGGTGCATGATTGTCTTCGGTAATCAGTATTCTGTCCTGTGTTACTAATTGATTTTTTGCTCTTCATGCTAATTTGGTTGTCATTCTTTCATCCCTCTATCGTCATTTTCTCGGACGTGGAGTTGTCTCCAGCTTTCCAGGCTTTTATCTCCTCTGGAGTCTTCTGGTTACTCCAACGTCCTTGAAGGGCCATATGTTGAAGATCCCACATGTCCAACCTTCAACTCCCTTTTGCTCTGCTTATTGATGCTACAAAGCTAGTGGCTTTTTTTTGTGTGTGTTTTGAAATCATTAAATTATAAAAATACAGGCTTTAGTCAAATCTGTTACTTGGAGCAGTGTGCTGGATTGGCAAGCATTAAAAAGCCCATCTGCCTCGAGGGCAACGCCAAAAGACAAAGTCTGAATGATGAGATGTCTCAGTGAACACCTCCGAGGATCAGGAAACCACAGATTTTTTGAGCAACCTGTTCCAGGGCTTCACAGAAATTAATTTTTTCCTAATATCCAATCTAAACCTACTCTCTGTCAGTGGGAAGTCATTTCCCCTTGTCCTGCCACTCCAGGCCCCTGTAAATTACCTCTCTCCATCTTTCTTGTAGGCTCCCTTCAGATACTGGAAGGCCACAATTAGGTCACCCCAAAATCTCTTTTTCAGGCTGATCAATCCCAATTCTCGCAGCCTTTCCTCAAAGCAGAGCTGCTCCACCCCTCTAATCATCTTGGTTGTTATCATAACATCCTTTTAAATTGTCTTTCAGAACTCATAGAAATTAAAATTAAGGTATAAAACATCAAAATCAATACAAGACATCAAATAATTCAATACTGGTATGGTCCTCATCAAGTTATCTAATCCATTCTTATATCTGAGGGATCCTGCAATGTTCAACACGTTTGGTTTTATAATTGTTTGTAAACAACTTGTGTGAAAGTTGGGGGTTTTTTTGATAGCTGCTTCATCATTTCCCTTAGTGGCTAATGAAGATTTCTTTCCCTGGTTTTATCAGTTTTTCTCTTCCTCATTAAGCCAAATACTTGTGTTTTTCCAGATACAACCCCCACCCTTCACCCCACTCTGATTGTATCCTCTAATTTATTTAAAAACTGCTGGCCTGTCCTCTTTTCACCATCTACTTACTAATTGAACAAAGTCAGTTCTTTTAAAGTGTTCCTTGGAACCTACATTTTGTAAATTGAGCCTTTTTCTTATTTCTTTTTCCTGGACTTTCCTTCCCTCTTGAACCACCATGTCTAAAACTAAGTGCAGTGTCCAAACTCTGACTTCAGCACTGCTAAATAGAGCAGAATAATGATATCCTGTGAGGTGCATGTTACACACCTGTTATTCCTCTGTAGGATTAAATTTGTCTGGTTTTGCTCTTTTGAATCCTCATTCTCAAGTGTGATCCCTTGTTTGGGATTCAGTGTAGCTACAGATCCCTTCAAGCAAGATTTTGTGTGTGGCTGGCACATTCCTGGCACCCAATTAATGAGCAGGTTCTAAGATGTCCCAAGGGTAAGGATCACACTGTGACCAAGGCATCCATAAGTGTGGGAAGAGATAGCTCCTTTAGCAGGTTTGCTAGAAAGTGCCATTTAAAAAAAAAAATTAATTTCCCCACCCCCTAGTATTAGATTTTCTCTGGGCTATCTGTTACATCAAGCAAAAATTTCTCTTCATTTCCTCTTTAGGAAATTCAGTTGCTTCACACTGGTGCTGTATTTTTAATGCAATACTCATACCTGTTTATTTTCGTCAAGTTCTCTTGTAACCCTCTATTCATACGATGGTGAAGTCTAGAAATTCAGCTTTTAGGAGCACTGTTGATAAAATAACCAGCCAGCAATCCAAAAGTGGTGGGTTTCTCTCTCAGCACAGAAACAAGCTATGCTGATGCAGTTTACAGGCATAACTAGGAAACTCCTAGTTATGGAGTTTCCTATAATTTAGGAAACTCCATAACTAGGAGTTGTGGAGTTATAAGTTAGGAACTTATAAGTTATGAACTTATAAGTTAGGAGCTGTCTGAGCTGCAGCTGCTCAGATGAAGCAGTCAAAGATGTTAGAGAAAATTCTGTTTGGTGTTTTCAAGTAGAGAATTGGACTGGGAGTTGTTTCCCAGGAGAGCTGCTGGCAGGTGAGAGGATTTTCTGTTCTGGCTCATTGCTCCTGCCATTCACCACAAAGCCCTGCCCCAGCTCGGGCACAGCACAGCTGTTTTAGGGATCCCTGCACCTTAGTTGCCCTAATTTCTCCAGTGCCTTCCAGCCTGTGTGTTTTTAGGGATGGGCTGTGTGGGTCACAGCTGGGGCAGGTGATCTGTACTGCTCTCACACATCTCTGAACTGCTCCAGCTGCCAGCAGTGGCTCTGCTGCAGTTTTGTTGTGTCCTTTGAGGGAGGAGAGGCTTGTAACTTGTCTCCTGGGAGCAGTGGATTGTAACTTGACTCTCTTGGGCTTAAAATATCCTACTGAGAAGGTGTATCTGTTCCTTGGCTTTTTTTCTCTTGCCTTGGTGTTCATTTTATGGATGTCACTGATAAATGTGACCCTGTTTTTATGCTGGGAGAGGGGAGACATTCTACAGGTTTCTTGGGAGATGTTACACCATAGCCTCTTCACTTAGCCAGGGGAGAGTTCCACCTATGCTCCTTAATTTTTTCAGTCACTCTGTGGTAATAACTCACGTAAAGAGCTACGTCAGAAGTGTGCAGACCCCCTGTAGGGGAATAAACAGGTACCAATCAGCAAGATCATAATCTGACTGCTGGCACTGGGCTTGTTTTAAAGAACCATTGGCTTTTATTTCTTTTTTTCTTGTCCACTAATGTGCCAGGCATTTGCTTTACCAAAGGTACACAAGCTTCTGTGCTTGGAGATTAAATTGTTTATGTTACCTGTTGACACTATAAACTTAGCAACCAGGTTACAGACACAAACCTCTGAGCTAACTAAAAGTCTCTAACAACACAGAGGCCAAGCTTAGAGATGCTGCCAGGGGAAGGATAGCAACCATTAGGAAGAGACAAATAAATAAATATTCAGTCTCAGTTGCCTTCCTGTGAACATCACAACCTGCAGCACAAAAGTATGTTGAGAGAAATGGCAGGAAAAAGCTGTGTCTGTGAACTTATGAATGCCTGTCCTCATTCTGGCCTGGGAGTGAAACTGAAGCTTTTATCTGCTTCTCTCAATCTCTCCTCATCTTGTATTACTGTTTTTTAATAATGGTATTATTCTGTGAAAATTGTGGAGGGGGAAAAAAATGAGCACTGAAAGCCTATCTGTCTCTCTTTAGCTTTTTAACCTGCTTTTGCCTGCCTGCTCTTCCAGAAGATAATGGCAGATCCTTCAGTGGTGGATCACCTGACACGACTGAAACTCAAACTCCTAGAAAAGGTAGGGGAATAATTCTGCATCACCTTTGCTCTGCTTTTTGCTCTTGCATGTTGAAGGATTAACACTGTATTTTAAAATAGTATAACTTTACTGAGATACACTGAGGAGTGCTACTACTTACTGTCACTTTCTTAAATAATATTGTACAACTCTTCATGAATCTACAGTGAATTAAATTTACTTTGATTTTTTGGGAGATGTAACTAGTTAGCTGAAAGCCAGTTTGAGCTGGGACAGGCAAAGCTTAGCAGTAAATCTTGGCTAAAGAGAATCTCAGATTGTTTTAAGGCAATTTCATGTCCGCTTTCACATAAGATGTGTTGCCTGGTCAGACCTTTGGTGATTCAAGAGTCCAGATCTTGGACTATCAGGCAAGCCCAAACTCAACATTATCAAGTTCTTCATATGATGCAGCTCTCTGCCTACAAATTAGTTTATGTCTCCTGATTCACCATGCTATCAGTTTTAAGATCTGGAATTGCTTGGACAGTTGGAAGCATCACTATTCTTTATTGTAACTAGATTTGTAATGAGACATTCCATACTTCTCTAGGAACCACCATTTTTTCTCCACTTCTGCTCTATTTCCTCCATCCCAAACCTGTGCCATAGGCTTGGGAATCCTTGTGAGCTTTTCTGCCTGACTTATAACCAGTTCTGGTTATGGTTCTGCCAACAGAGACTAGAAAATGAGCAGGAGAACCTAAAGAAGATGGACTTTTCTCTCCCAGCTGCAAGTAAGAGAAGCATTTGTTCTAATTTTAGGTATATTTTGGAAAGGGCTTGCTTATGTTCTCAGGCATGAGTTCCTCAAGAGATGATCCCCTCTCCTCCCTAACAGCTGTGAGCTAACTGCTTTTTATCTTTTGAATTCCTTCAGCTATTTTTTTCTTGACAAAGGGAAGTGGACAACCAGCTGAGCACTAACATAAGATGACTTCCTTCCTAACTCCTGCCCAGGTATCCTGAGCAGCCTCTCAGCTGCAGCAAACTGATGTTGATCCAGTTTGTCCTAGCTCTTACACCTAGGAGTGCACCCTGTTGTAGTCCAGCTGTTTTCTTGGCTTTGGTGATTCTGAAAAGGCAGGAGGAACATTTCTTTGCAAGGCACATGTACTGTTTATATTATCTATGGATTCAATGTTAATAGTAGAAGCTCAGTGATATTTCTAGGCTGTACTGTGGGCTCCTATTCATTGATCTGATGCACAAATAGTTGGAATCTTCTAATGCTGTGGCCAAACATTTTTAAAAATCCCCTATAATAACTTACAGTTTCAAAATACAGAATGGTGCTTTCCAGAGCAGATGCCAGGCATGGCTCCATTCTTGCTTATCTTCATTTCGAAATCAACCATGTGTGGGATGAACTGAAAGGGAAGTTGATTTAGAATAAAATAGGAACAGAACAGTTGACATTCAAACCAGATCTTGTTGGAGCTGTTACTACAAACAGGCATCCTCTGCATGCACTGGGCACATCTAGAAACTTTCAGCCTGAAAGGGATTCCTAAACCAGGAGGTTAAAAAGGGGCTTTAGAAAACAATCTTAAGAATTTATTTTCAGAGGTGTTTTGCCTTTGTAGAGCTGCTGAGCAGCTGTGACTGCACATGGCATGAAGTCATTAGCCACACGTGTTTGACAAGAAAAGTTATTTTGTGGAAGAACTCGAGCTGTTGAAGCAGAGTGACACAGAGTCCCCAGGCAGGTGCAAAGGAGAGCCTCTTTATTGCAAAAAGCAGGCCTTTTTGAGCAGTTAGGCCTTTGCCAGTAACACAGTTTTAAATTCTATCAAACATAACCCAACCAACCAACATACCCCACGATGGGAGCACATCATGGTTATATAACTTCTTTTTCTACCTCTAATTCAGCTGAGTCACTTTCCCACAGTCCTTTTCTGCTTAGCCAAAGTAGGAGGCCTGAACAATGATTTTAAAAAGGTAACAAGACCCTTACTTTGTAAGGTTTTACCCATATGCAACATCAGGCTACCTAATAACACATTTTCCACATTAATCTCGTAACGCAGGTGCTGTAATAGCTCTGTCTTTGTGGTCCTTTGAGAAGATAATGGACTCTTCCTCTTCCAGGGAACAGACCCCAGGACATTCTCCAAAGTGCCCTGAGGCAAAGGAAAGATCTGCTGCAGGAGCTTAGGGTAAGAGCCCTCTCTGGCCAGGATAATGATGTGGGTTCAGTGTTTTCCTGGCCCTTAGTTCTGGGGCTAGGCAGGATTTAGTGCTCTGCTGCTTTGGAATATAAAGGCTAGGCCAGCTAATCAGGGAAAGAGCCTGGAGAGCAGCTTGGCTTCCCTCACTACAGCTGTGTGAGCTTGCACCTGCTTCAGGCACTAAAGTGGGATGAATCTGTTTGTCCTGAGCTGCTGTCTCATAAACTTTCTGTGCCAAAATGCAAAGAAGGGATTTTTAGCAATGCCAAAGTAGAGACAATAATAATTGTTATTTATTCCTAGTTTGTGGAGGATACCAACTATTATTGAAATGTTTTCCTAGACATTCGGCATCTTGTTCTGCACATTTTTTTTTTCCAATACTTTTATGCTTCAAGATATATGGAAAGGAAAACTTTGTTTGCACTTAGGCAGGCACTGGCAGTGCCCTTGCTGCAGTTTCCCAGGGTCTAATCCCATGTAGTCCAAAGAACATAACCATACTGTCTGCCTTGCTGTGACCAGATTTTCTTTAAGAAAATACTTAACTTTGCAGGAGCAGCACCTCCTGGAAGAGCTTTCACAGCCACCTGCAACAGATGGGGGACACTGCCATGACCACAGAGCTGCCCTCCCACAAATCTACCAGATCCCTTTTCCAGCTTCCCAAGGGGAGCCACCAAGGATTATCCAGCAGACAGTAAGGATTGTCTCCTAGAAAACACCACCAGCACTGTGCCAGTCTGAGCTGACAATCATTTGGGAGCTGTATGGAATTGCTCATTACAGAAAAAGGGAAGATATGCCTCTTGCTCTTTTATGGGATCCTTGCTGCCTGCAGGAAAACCTAAGGGAAAATCACCTTGCAAATAAGTCCCAGAATTAACAATGGGAATGGAACAAGATGGCAAAAGGAGTGGCAGACTGGCACACTCCAGCCTGGCCATTCAGCAACTTTCTGATGCACATCACTGTCTGCTCATGCAGCCCACAGCCTCAACAGCTTCTCCACGAGAATCCCAGAGTTTTCCTGAAGCCTAGGCAGATCACAGCTATTCCCATAGCTGGGAGAGCTGGCCAAAACCAACCCTGACTTCTCCATTTTCCTTCCTGTTCCAGATGCCAACTCAGCCTGCCACCATCATCCAGCAGCTGCCTCAGCCCTCCCCTCTGATCACACAGATTCCCCCAGCCCAGCCCTTTGCAGCCCCCCGCTCTGGGAGCATTAAAGAAGGTAACAAACTCTCCACACAGCAGCCAGCTCCTGCCACCAGGCCTGGAGAGGGCAGGGCAGGTGCCATGGCAACTGGAAGGGGACATGAGATGGTGTCCAAGCTCGTTAGTGATGTGCTGTTTAATGAGGTGGTGGAGCTTGGGGGGTTGTGCTTCATAGATGAAATAGTACCAGTTGTGAAACTCTTATCACTAAAACTAAAGAAAAAGGAACTACAAACTCAAGGGAAGATTGGGACAGCAAAACAGCTCAACTCATGGCACTGAGTAATATTAATAAAGTCAAAGTCATGCACATGGATGATTCCAGAATTAGCAAAGAGGCTTCTAAAATGTGGTTTTATTCTTTTGTTCTTTCCTAACCTGCTGTTCAATCTCCTCAGGCTTTTGTTTGTACCCTGTGTTTGGAAACAAGACAGAACATCTGAAAGTGTTGTTCTAAATATAGTGCAATGCCAAGAAAAAAGTTTATTTCTAAACATAGGTGGGTGCTACTGTGAAATAATACATGAACTAAAACCTTGGACAATTTCCCTGGCTCAGCTTTCAGCCAAAGGTTCATCTCACCTAGGAATCCTCAGTCATGAAACTGCAGTATTTTTCAGCTTATACTTCATCTAAGTTTCTGTATTTTTGAATCAGAGTTTATTTCCATAAGCAAAATAGTCCCAAGCCACTCATGACTTCTCTGAAGCTGCTACATGAAAACTACTTTTTGTATAATCAGTAAAAAGGAAAATGAGAGTTGCCTTGCCTTCATATTTTTCCTTTCTTTTTTTCTCGCTTCTCCCTCTTCACTTCTCCCCAAACAAATTAGTTACACTGCACAAGTCCTTTGGATCCCAGAGATTATGTAAGGAGATTTGATGTGCATGAAATGACAGATTGAGGGTTGGACTTGATGATGTTAAAGGTCTTTTCCAGCCTTTACAATTCTGTGAGTCAGTGGACTCTCACTCAAGGTGGCACTGCAATATCACATAAATGTGAGGAAACCTCTGACAGGAAAGCAATGCTCCGGGGCTGAAGCAATGGAGAGCACAGCCAGGAGCCTGCCCTTGCTGGAGCAAGGGAAAGCTGCAGCTCAGCTCTTCTCCATCCTGCCATTCAGCACAGGCAGGGGTGTGGGCTTGCAGGGCAAGCAACAGACAAGGTACTCGGCAGCAGCTTTCTTGTAGGAGGGAGGAGAAACAGGAAAGCTGGCATGAACAACCTCACTCACAGACATCATTAACTTTGCACTGTCTGGGGAAATGATGATAATATTCTTCATGTGTGTCTTGGTTTGAAAAGACAGATGTCTGTCAAGGAAAACAGGAGCCTTCTTTGAAAAGGAAAATGTGAACTCTTTCTCTCTGAGTTATTATATTTTTTTAAATTAAGGGGGTTTCAGGTTAAGATATAGGAATAGGAATAACAGTTTTTTACTAGTAAAATTTAAAAAAATACAAATGTAATAGTACAAAAAACTAGAAAATAAACTAGTGACAGAGGTAGAATACAACTTGACACTGTTGGTTAGGATGGTGGTAGCAGTTTTGATTAAATGGTGGCTGTAGTTTTCTTGGAGTGACAGATGTGGTTTTGTTAAAGCAGTGGTTTTGTAGAAGGGTATAGGTTTTTTTTGAAGGTCTGGTGGTGGTGTAGATGGTCTTTTTCTGGGACTCCAGTGGAGAAGATAGTTGTTCTTTTGGGAATTCAGTGGGAAAAGGTTGTCTCTGTTGTTTTAAATCTCAGATTATATTTAGGTAGGAATGTTTGGCTCTTCTTTCTGGGTGGAGCCTTTTACAATGGGATGATGTAATTTTATCAGTCATGCAGTGACACTCAGCAGCCTATTAATAGAAGATATCTCTCTGGAGGGAGGATTGCTTATGGAAGAGATAAAGAAAACTGCCCAGTTAACAGAAGATAACTGCCCTACTCCTAATAGATGGTAAATAGAATATGCACACATCTTACAACTCAGGACAATGCCCCCTTTCAGCTGCTTTGCCTTTGCTGCAGTGACCAATCTGTGTGCTGGAGGATACTCCTTACCACAGATGCCTCTGCTGCTTGTCAGTTGTGGATAAAGCTCTGATTCTTTTCTTCTCTTCCCAGATATGGTGGAGATGATGCTGATGCAGAATGCTCAGATGCACCAGATCATGATGCAGAACATGATGCTGAAGGCTCTGCCGCCAACGCTGCTCACACAGCTTGGGGGAGCCAGCTCTGGGCTCCAGCACACACAGCAGGTAACAACACCCAGCCTGGAGGGCAATGGCACATCTCCCTGGGAGGGTACCAGGCCTGGGTAAAACACAGTGCTGGGAGAGCCAGAGGACTGTGGAGGACACTGCTCCTTAGGAGAGGTGGCAGAGGAAGAGCATGCCCTAATGCCCACCTTCCTCTCCAGGCCATCCTGTTATTCTGCATTTCCCTGACATTGACTAATGGAATAAATTGGAGGGAGTGGGGTCTGAGTATCAGGTGAAATATGAAGTCACCAAGTGACTGAAGTCACAATCAAAAGTGTTCTTGGACCTTCTGTACTGGAACCTGCAGACTCTCCTCCAGACACATCCCAAAGGTCTTTCTTTCTCAAGGGGTGGCTGAATGGAACCCTGGCCCTCAGCGAGGGACCTCTCCCACTGTGAGGGGCAGAGGTTTCTGCAGCCACCCTTTGTCTCTCTCCAACAAGGACCTGCAGCTTGCTGCTCCCCTGGCTGTGAGAGCAGAGAGGCCCAAGGCACCTGTGGTGCACCACCACCACCATTACCCTCCCACGGGGGTGTTCCCAGTGCCCCCAGTGCCCACATCCACAGAGCACCACTGGACTGGCAGCTCTGCCCAGCCCACGTAAGTAAGCAGGCAGCTGTGACATGTGCTTGCAGCCCTTTCTCCCTGCCCAGGCAAGGCAGACTGTGGGATAAACGTGGGGATCTGACAAGGGTGAGGATCACATAGATCCCCCAGCCTGCCATGCTGCATTGCTGTGCTCTGCAAGGGCTCCCACCCTGCTTTTTTTTTTGTCAGTAACCTAAATAAGGCAGGGGTGGGGAGGGGATGGGGAAGTGTTTTACATTTGGGCTAAGGTTTCCAGCAGGGTTTATGTTCTTAAAGCACTGCTGGGGCATTTGCGAATCAGAAATTCCTGGGAAAATAAAAACTCAAAACCACCAGCTAAGAAAAATGGTACAAAGGGAGGGGAGTATCAGAGAAAATGCTGAGCCTTTGCCATAAGCTTGTGCTTGCAGTTGAATGGGATGGGTTTCAAGTGCAGAAATGGATGAACTTCTCCACAGGATGCTCCCAAATCCATAGAGCCCTTGAGCCCTGTGCAGAGGTCACAGCCAGCTCCTCCAGGGGCTCACTTGCTTTCTGCCTTCCTCTGAGCTTGTCCTGCTTGGCTTCCTAGGTGTGAGGAAGTTCTTGCATGCCAAGACTGGTGAAGAAATGCACCTTGCTAGAGCGTGGAAGGAGGGGTAACATGGGGACACACTGTGAGAACTCAACCTTTATTTCTGTGCCGTGGCTCTTTCAGAGCCTTAGTGAACAGAACAGGATGGAGGCAGCTGCAGCCTTGGGCATGGGTGACCTGCTGGCAGGGGTATCTGTACAGCCCTCTTTAGCAGAGGATTTGAATTCCTGAACAGATTATTTCCCTAATGGGATTATAAGGGATGAACATTTCTACCTATTTCCCCTTGACACGGGTTTGTAATCTAAACCAGCAAAGAACTCCTGGCACCTGTCAGGGTCAGTGCAATTCACTGCATAAATCATTAGGTATTGTCATGGCCTTTAAACTTTGTTCTTCCTCTTCTTCAGCTGCCTGCCACCACAAGGTATGAGACTAAACACATCTTTTTGCAGCTGCAGCACTACTGGCTGTTACTAAACAAAATAATCCCATTTTTCTTGTTGCAGGTGGCCCACATACTGACAGTACAGGATCCTCTGCAAGTGGACCACAGCCTTTCTAAAACCAATAAATCCTGCTGTTCTTCCTCAGCCATTGACATGTATTTTTCTTCAGCAACATAAATCAAGCACTTTTTCCTCGTTTACTTTTCCCCAGAGGACAAGCTTTAATCAATGCCCATGTTATTCTGTTCTTTTTAATTTTATTTATGACTTCTTAAAAGGCTCACTATCAGATTTTTTTATCAGGCAACACTTTTTCATACTCTCAGCAGCCTAATTTTGTTTAATATAGAAAGTGCTATAAAATCATTGTTCATCTTTCTCAGTATCTTCCCACTTTCTGTTTTTAGAGTGGAGAACATCTGTACTAGGTTTGCCTGGTGCAGTTTGTGAATGAGTCTGATTAAGAAAACCCAGGGACCTAAATTTTGTTTGGAATGAAGAAAAGATAGTAACTATTACTCCTGGAAGCTAATCATGTGCTGTCTGTGATCCAAAAACAATTAATGAATAATCTATTTACTGTGTAAAACCTACCTTGCTCTTTGCCCTCTCTGCTCTGTTGTCTTTGAGATTCTTATTGCTCTCTACAAGTTCTCACTTTTTACAGCTACCTGAAAGAGGAAATGGCCTCAAGTAGTGTCATGGGAGTTTGGATTGAATATTAGGAAGAAACTCTTAACTGAAAACATTGTCAGACATTGGGAGAGGCTGCCCAGGGAAGCACTGGAGTCCTGCCCCATCCCTGTAGGTCTTTGATAGCCATGAAGATGTGGCATTTAGGGTCATAGCTCAGTGGTGTGCTTGGCAGTGCTGGGTTAACAGCTGGGACTCTATGTTCTTAGAGGGCTTTTTCTGCCTTAAAGATTCTCTGAGACAAATCTGCTGGGACCTGGCAAGTTTAGCAATAAAGTGTATTCAGTGATACAAATATCTTCAGTTTCACTGTCTGCTGTTTAATTATTGTATGTGGCTCTAATTGGCTCCTCCCTTTTCAATGCTTACTGTGGGCAGCATTGGCTCAGCAGAGCATTTCCTCCCAAGGATGGGCATGTGGAATAATGCCTGCAGAGATGTCTCCTCCCAGCCTCATCTAAGTCCTGGAAAGCTTTTGCAGAGCAGGCATGGGCTCTCTCCTAAGCATCACACCCCGGAATACCTGAGCCACACACAACTTCCTTGGATTAAAGATGTCCTCAAAGATGGGATGAGGCTCCTGGACAAGTAGTGTGGCTCACAACCCACCCTCAGGAGAGGTTCCACAAGTCACTCCACATTGTCCCACCAATGCTTCTGCAGTTGCATCCCAATGAAGCACCAGCAAAAGCCTGGCTGATGCAAGTTCTCCTCCTGCTCTGTGTGTATTCCTTGGAGACTGCCAGATTGCTCTACAATTTCCAAAGGACTGAATAACACCACACTGCCATCTCAACACCTCAGGCTCAGCCAGGCTGACTCCCTGACAGTCTCTGGGCTGGAAGTTAAACTTTAATGCGAATCAGGGGGAGAAGAAGCCAGGCATGACTCAGCCAACCACATTCCATCCCTTTCCCCTCCCCACTGGCCAGGGCAGTGGGACTGGGGAGAAGCAGAGGGATCAGAGACAGAGCAGGGATCTGAGGCCCAGGGGCTGACCTAGCATGGAGCCCTGTGACACACGAGGGAAAAGAATCGCTGTTATCGGTGGTGGTCTGGTAGGAAATGCCATTTAGCTGCTGCATGATTGTTTGCTGGGGAGCTGGGGCTGTAAAAACACTGCTTGAATGTGGGGGTGAATGTTTTTCCTCTGTCAGATGATGGGGTGTTGCAAAGGGGTTGATTGAGTTCCTGCTGTGGGAGGCTCCTGTCCTATTCTTGGGTGAAGGGGTTTGGGTGGTGGGTGGAGCGCTGGTGCCCAGGTACATTAAACATCAGTCCTTCTTTGGGCTGCTAGGTTCCCCTGTCCCTTGGCTGACTTTGGCTGTAACTAATATCTAATGTGAAATGCTTTGCAAGAACTGAGAGTGGTAAATGCCAGGCTGAGAGGAAACACCTTCCTTTGCCCGCATTTGTTTGGGGGTAGTTTTCATCCACTGCTACTTGTAGAGAGGTGTGACACTAAAGGTCAGGCTGGATGGGGCTCTGAGTAACCTGGTCTAGTGGAAGGTGTCCCTGCCCATGGCAAGGGGCTGTAACAAGATGGTCTTCAGCATCCTTTCCAACCCAAACTATTCCATGAGTGTCTGATTCTATGACTGCTTGGGGCATTGCAGCACCTACCTCTCGCCTTTTTGGACATTAACTTCTTGGAAAAGAGTGATGACAGAAGAGGCTGTAGTTCTGACAACAATTCCTTATGGAAATTTAATTTTTAAAAGTTATGTAAATTGCAAACAGGACATATTGTAGTGTTCTCCCTCACTATGTTCCCAAGGGAATGCTGTTACACCGTGGATTAGTGAGGAAGGTAAACACAGCCCAGAGAGGAGCTGGGAGTTTGCCTACACCAGCTCCTGCTGTCTCTGGCTGTAGAGGTGAGCCCTGCTGCATTCAATTGCTGTGTGTAAACAAGCCTGAGCTTGGTATGACTTTATAAAAAGAGCTTTGATGGGTGGCTTTTTTCTTGGGGTCTCAGCAAGCACACAGGGCTGCCAGAGGACTGCTCTTCAGTAAAAAATCTTCTGAGGTTCTTGGTCAAAGGACCTCCCTGTTTATGCTGAGCTGCATCCCTTGATCACTTCTTTCCTTTGATGCATCTCAGCAGTGACCTCCGAGATACTTCATCCACCATTCCTGATCCTTGTCTTGTAGGTGGGTGCATTAAATGCCTGTTTCTTTGCTAGACGAGGTTTCCATGTTGACGTTTATGAAGCCAGAGAAGGTAAGGTCAGCCTGATCATTACTGTGTGAGCTACTGAAACTGTAAGAAAATAAAGAAAGCTGAGAGTGGCAGTTTGGGGATATTATTTTCTCCCCTTTCGCTCCTGTGGTGGGGAGGAGCATTTATTTGAAGTTAATCCTGTGTGGAGGGAACCCACTCTTTAGCTGCTAAAATGATGCCCTTTTTATATTCTTGGCTTAAACACTGATTCACATCCTCACCTTTGAAACCTGGTCTCTGCAGAAAATATTATAGTACAGTGCTGGGTCAGAAGAAGCCTCCAGGTCCACAACGTACCAACAAAAGAGGAATTAGGATTTAGAGCCAAGCCACTAGCTCAAAGGCAGAGAAATTGTTCATCTTCAGTATCTGTCAGCTGGCAGACAAAAATAAGACCTGGGCAGAGATGGCAAGCCAAGTGGCAGGTGGGAATGACACCATGGAAATAACTCAAGTGTGCAGTGAAGGCAGGGAGGAGCCATGCCTGACACTCTGTGGTAACTCTTCCTGCCCTGATCAGAACAGACAGTTCTGCTATACAGTTTAATGTTGCCAGAAGCTCCGCAGCTTCAAAAAGCTTCTGATTGTTCTCACTTGCCTTCTGGGCTGGAAGGATCCAACTGCACTACTCCAGTTTTTGGCCCATTGCTTACACTGATGCACATGCTGGGATGGAGAGGCTCTGCCCCATGCACTGGCCAGACAACCCAGGAAGTCTAAATGAGACAACTCAGAGGAGCAGGCCAATGTCCAGACATTTCCATCTGGTCAGCCATGAAGAAGGTGACCTGCCAATGTCCCAAAAAGTCTGTGGGCTTCAGCAGAACCTGTCAGGCATTCATGGCTCAGCCTTCTCCATTTAGAGGGGAAATGGCTTTTAATGTTAACAGACCCTCTGGCACGTGGGGTGCTGCCAGAATCCAGCATTCCCTTGGCAGCACTTGGCTGCAGCTGCTTCTCCCAGGCTAGAGGCAGCACGGAGGGCCCAGGCTGGACTCCCCCCTACCTCACCTGCTGTTGCTGCAGGGGGCTTGGGAGATGTTCCCTCAGCAGGCTGTGCTGCCATTGCCTCCAGAACCCATTGCTGTCCCTTCCAGATATCCGAGTGGCCACCTTTGCCCGTGGCAGAAGCATCAACCTGGCCCTGTCTCACAGGGGACGCCAAGCCCTGCGAGCTGTGGGGATGGAGGAGCAGGTACTCTGGCACGTTCTGTTGCTCTCTGTGTCCTTTCTTGTCCCAGCCAGACCTCTTCCTCTGCATGCCTGCAGGCTGGCTCTCCTCTGCCCCACAGCACATCTGCCAGCAGGATGCTCCCCACCCCGGGCAGCTGGGCTCTGCTGCTGGCAGTGGCTGCTTCCCTGGGACACCAAGCACCTTCCAGTGTTTACCTCCCTGCTGAGCTCCCCTCCCTCCTGGAGCAGAGGGCAAACAGGGCAGGAGGAGATGGACTCCCAAAAGAGCTGATGCAATAAAGCAGGATGCAATAAAGGCAGCTGTTTGCCTCACTGGCATGTCCAGATTTGTGTTTTCCCAGAAAACCTTGATCTTTGGGCTGACCCCTGAAATCCATCCACACTGCTTTCTGCCCAGCACGCTTGGCTGGGAGCCCAGCATTCTTCTGCAGGGTACTGGCTGCCATTTAACATCCAGCTGCTGCCAGTGGCAGGCTCTCCTAGTCCCTGGATCCCTGCAGAGGAGCCCAGGCTTTGACAACACACATCCCAGTCCCAGGGTGTAATTTGGCTCTCATCCCCTGCCCCGTCCAGCACTCTGGGATTTTTCATCTCCCTTTTGTCCAAAAACAATTTCCCTCTGGTTTTTATGAGTGTGAGCTTGTAAGTAATCTCAGTAAACTGTAGTAAATTGACATGACAGCCCTGATAAAGTTTTCCCTGGTGGTTTGGAAACGTGTGAGCAAAGAACCCCCCATTCTCCCTTGAGTGCAGTGCTTGGGGGAAGGAATGATGCTTGGTAACTCACAAAAACCCACAGTTTTGGCCAGAAGTGTGGGTTGTTTTCCCTTCCGTTTCAGATTGTGGCCAAGGGCATTCCCATGAGGGCAAGGAGGATACACACACCTTCAGGGAAAAAATACTCCATCCCTTATGGGAAGAAGGACCAGGTACTGGAGCTGATTTTCAGAGCACATGAGGTCTTTGTTAGCATTTTGTTAACATCTCTGTGTCATGGACAGTGCGGGGCTCATGGATGTGGGAGAGGCTGGAGAGGATGAGGGAAGGGGATTTGGAAGGGAGGGTTTCCTGCCTGGCCATGCAGAGTGTCCTTCAGCAAAGCTTTCTGAACTGCCTGTTTGTTTGCCTTGCAGTACATTCTCTCTGTGGACAGAGCAAACTTAAACAAAGAGCTGCTGACAGGTAGGTTGTCACTTTTGTTTGCAAATTCTTATAACCCACTTTTGGCTGGGGATTTAGGGTTTGCCCTGTGACTAGAAGACTTTGAGCCCTGAGCTCCCTTACCCAGATCTCAGGAAGTGCAAACCTGAACTAGCAGAGGAAAACCTGTGCTGTTTCCCAGCTAAGCAGGAGACACCTCCTCAGCCTTGTCATGGCTTGTGGCATTTTCCATAACCCCTGATTGTACAGAGACAAATAGAAAATTGGAGCTCTATGGCTAATCAGACTAGACCAAATTGATGCAAATTCCCCACTGACTGCAGGCACCTCATCCCATCCTGAACTGCAGTGGAGTGATGGTGGAAAGCAGTCAATGACTCAGGTCATTGTGGGGAAGAAAAAGTCCTTGCAGGATTCCTTGCATTTTTCAACTAGTTTATACCATAGTTGACCAGTCCCAGTGTGCCCTGCCTGCTGGCCCTCACGAAACACAGCAAATTATTTGCTCTAATGGCAAAAATCCCTATGATTTAGGGATCTCTTGGAAATATTTTTTGTGGTCACAGTAAACCCCTCTACACGTAGTTGTCTTTTCACAGCTGCCGAGACGTACTCCAACACTAAACTGTTCTTTGGACACAAGCTCCTCGGGTGTAATGCAGAGTTGGGGACATTATCCATAAAAAGGTAATCCCTGCACAAGTGTGGGATCAAGCACTGTGGCCAGTTAGTTTCTGCTTAATCATTCATAAAACCTCAAACAATTGAGCAATCTCAGTTTTGAAACTAATGTGCAGACAAAACTGCCAGCTTTGGAAAGGAGAGACATCAAGGCAGCATTCATGGGGAGACTGAGAAAGGTTTAAGCAACTCCCTAACCCTAAAACAGGCACACACTTCCCGACCTGTGCAGGGGATAAACGTGCCAGTATCTATGGCACTGGGTTCAGGGACAGATTGCTCATCAGGGGGGCGGGTAACTGGTGATGTCCCATCCCTGGGAGTGTTCCAGGCCAGGCTGGATGAAGCTCTGAGCACCCTGGTGCTGTGTCTCTGCCCAGGGCAGGGGCTGGAATGGGCTGAGCTTTAAGGACCCTTCAAACCCAAACCATTCTGAGGTTCCATGACCTTGTTTCACAGTCTTTCACAGAAGTTCTGGTCCTACCCCCCATCCTCCTGGCAGGTGCTGCAGGCTCTGCAAAACAGCAGTGTTATTCCAAAAGTGCCTACTGTATTGCTGAGTAGACCTGGCAGAGTTATGCTTTTGATAAACTACAGGATAATTATTTATCCTAATGCTGTGCTTCCCAGGCAGTGAGAGCTGATTCCCCCACCCTAGAAGATTATTAACACATTTTGCAAAAGGCAGATCCTCTGGGCACAGTGGTGCTGAGCTGGCCTGGGGTTACAGGAGGATTAACCACAGAATCATGGAATGGTTAGGGAAGAAAGAGACCTCAAAGAGCAGATTGATCCAAGGTACTGTCTTGCTCTCAGGTCTGACCAGCAGACCTTGGAAGTGAGCTATGATCTCATCGTGGGGTGTGACGGAGCCTTCTCAACAGTCAGGAAACAGTTCATGAGGCAAACACGCTTCAACTACAGCCACGAGTACATTCCTCATGGCTACATGGAGCTGACCATCCCTCCCAAGGATGGAGATGTGAGTGTGCCTGTCCCAGGGGCTGCTACAACCTTCACAGGTTGGATATCCCACCCCCTTCTCACTGTGGCTTTGCTGCAACAGCTTTGGGAGAATTAACTTCCCACTTGGTGTTCAGGCAGGGGATTAAACCTTTCCTAAAATAAGGCATGGATCTCTTCCTCTTCCAAACGTGGGGCCAATGGTGGTACCTGCATACGAAAATTCTAGAGAGCCTGTCCTGTAGTGGTGGGATTAACTCTGGTTCTGAGAGGTCCTGGAGATACGGGGATATATCTATGAGGACATCAGCAATTGCAAAGCATCATATTTTTGCTCATATTTCTTACCCTTTCCTCCTTCCCTTGCTCTGTGTCTCCCTGAAGCATCAGGGACCAGAAGGGGGTCCTGTAGTTGTTGCATCCTCCCATGGGAACTGTTGTGCTGGTGTGGAGGGGAGCCAGAGCCTGGGCTGGGGAAGCTGAGCAGGGCAGGTCAAGGATACAAAGCAATTTTCTTTCTCTTTCAGTTTGCCATGGAACCAAACTACCTCCATATCTGGCCGAGAAACACCTTCATGATGATTGCACTACCCAACATGGTGCTAACCCAGGGCCATGTTCTCCTGGGGAACAGGATGGGGCTGGTGGGGAGGAACGGCTGTGGTGGCAGGGACTGGGAGGGTCAGGAGTCACAGGATAACTGAAGCACAGAATCAGTTAGAATGGAAATGACCTCTGAGATCACAGATCTAACCATGACCCAATTCCACTGTGTCAACCAGACCATGGCACTAAGTACCACATCCAGTCTTTCCTTAAAAATCTGCTGGGACAGTGACTCCACCAGCTCCCTGGCAGCCCATTCCAATGTCTGATCATCCTTTTGGTGAAGAAATCCTTCCTAATGTCCAGTCTACACCTCCCCTTGTGCAGTTTAAGACTGTGTCCTCTCATCTTGTCCCTTGTTACCTGGGAGGAGAGCCTGACCCCTGCCTGGCTGCATCCCCCTGTCAGAGCATTGCAGAGAGTGATAAGGTGTCCACTGAGCCTCCTTTTCTCCAGGTTAAATACCCCCACTTCCCTCAGCTGCTTCTCACAGGACTTGTGCTCCAAATCCTTCAGCTCTGTCGTCCTTCTCTGGACGTGCCACAGCACCTCAATGTCCTTCCTAAACTGAGGGGCCCAGAGCTGGATACAGCACTTGGGGTGTGGCCTCCCCAGTGCTGAGTATAGGGGAGGAATAATTTCCCTGGTCCTGCTGGCCACAGTTTCTCACACAATCCAGGTGCCATTGGCCCTCTTGGCCACTAAGGCACAAACTGGCACATGTCCTGGGAAGGAGGCAGGAGGGACACCCAGCCTGTGCCAGGCTGACCACAGCCTAAGGGGTGCAGGGCAGAGAGCTCAGAACCAGTCCTACCTCACAGCACCGAGTAATCTGTGGCACCTCTCTCTGCCCACACATCTGAGCCCAGCCAGACCCCCACAAACCACTACTCTGCAGCTGGATGCTATGAACTACATGCCAGGGGCAACAGAACACTGTCCCAGGCCCATGATGGACAGTCACACACTTTTTCTGCCTCCCCTGTGCCTGCTCACTGTGAGAAAGAGGGTGGCCAGACACTCGTCCCTTGCTGTGCCAGTGGGTCACTGGGATTGCCAGGTGGCAGGCTGGGCACTGAGCTGCTGCTTCAGGTGCCACATGTTCTCTCTGCTCTCTGAACTTCTTGCTGACCCTCTTTCCTGGCTGGCAGGACAAGTCCTTCACCTGCACGCTCTTCATGCCCTTTGAGGAGTTTGAGAAGCTCACAACAGGCGAGCAAGTGCTGGGGTTTTTCCAGACCTACTTCCCAGATGCCATTCCCCTCATCGGAGAGTAAGTGTTCCCATCTCTCCTTTTCACTCACCTTCACAGCTATCTAGTATGGGATGGGCTTTTTCTTGGATGATACCAACAGTCCCAGCTGTGTTAGGCAGTTTCCTTTCCTCTTAAAATGAATTATCCCAGGACTTCATATTAACTGAGAAACTTGGATATTCTCTGGTATGTCCTTCCTGTATTGACCAACATCTACCACTGCTCACAGTGAGAGGATCAAGATGCCAGTAATCAAGTTACTGATTTAATATTAATTAAGTTGTGTGCAGAACTTAAAACTTGCAGATAAAATGTCTGATCTACAGGGAGGAAGTTGACTTCCACATTTTTCTATCACAAACAGCCTAATGCACAGGCTTGGGGATTGCATACCAGAGCTGACAGTGTCTGTGGCCTCAGCTTGGATGTGGCACAGCTTGCTCTTCTTTTTTGTGGTCCCACACAACAAAATCTGTTGTTTTACCTGAAGGCAAGAGCTGAAGCACGATTACTTTTTGCTGCCAGCCCAGGCCATGATCTCTGTGAAGTGCTCTTCCTACAACCTCTCCTCCCGGTGCGTGCTGATGGGAGATGCTGCTCATGCTGTGGTGCCCTTCTATGGACAGGGCATGAATGCAGTAAGTTCATGGCTGGCCCGTCCCTGCTGGGGGGGATCCCACTCCTTTCACCCACAAACACCTGCTTTTGGTGTTTAACTCCCTACAGTTCATGGGCTGGCCCATCCCACAGCCTGATGTCCTCTGCATTGGCAGGGGTTGAGGTCCTGCCAGGATGTCCTCCTGGGAAGGACAGGGGACAGGGTGATGAGGCCACCTTCCCATGGAGCAGAGGACTGTTACTTTTATTTTTAAGTGTTAAGTTTTCTTTTATAGTTATTTTAAAAGTTTTAAAGTTCCAGAGGTCACTATTGGACACTAAATGAGTACACAGAAGCTTGGTGAATTTAAGAGAGAAAAGGAGTCAATTTTATTTCTGACTTTGTAATATATAGAATTCTAAAAGCAACAGTGGATTGGAGGATTAAATTGCCACCTCTCCAACTACTGGTTAAACTAATAGTCTATTGATTTTCTTCTCCAAAAAAGAAGAATGCAAAGCAATCATTATTTACATGAACAGTGTGTGAGAACTCCAGTAGAAATATGTAAACATTATCAGAAGGCTAAAGAAGTTTTATAAGAACTTAAAAACTTTTAAAAGAACTATGAAAGAAAACTTAACACTTTTAAAAATTAAGGTAACAGAGGACTATATGGGTGGGGGGTCCAGGCAGCTGGGAAAGACAATGCCCTATGATTTCTCTCAAGACCCCTGTCAGAGGGGCCTGGAGTAACCTCCTGCTCTGAAGCTGTGCTCAGTGGGACCAAACAGCTACACTAGCTAAACATGCATGAGGGCACTTCTCCTGAATGTATGGGTCCTTTATGGCTATTACCTCCCTAATATTCCTCCCAGGGCTTTGAAGATTGTCTGGTCTTTGATGAATTAATGGACCAGTTCCACAATGACCTTGGTAAGTGAGGTAGCTGGGGATGTGCGAGAGCAGAGGAACATCCCTCTGCACCTGAGGGCAGCTGGGTGCCCTGCAGGGAGCTGCCTGTGACCTGTTCCTTGTTTCTGCCAGGTGCCTGCCTCCCTGAGTTCTCCAGACTGAGGGTGCCAGATGACCACGCGATTTCGGATTTAGCCATGTACAATTACGTAGAGGTGGGTGAGCCCCACAGCCCTGTGGTTCCACGGGCCATGCACACAGCAGTGCTCTCAGAATGCCTGCAGCAGGCAGAGCCCCTGGCAAGTCTCTGGCTGGCCTCTCACCCTGGCAGGCTTTGGAGCTCCTTGGGAGTGTCAAGGCTGAGGAGGCTCTGGTCCCTGCATCACCTCCAGGACAGTGGGAGAGCTGCCAAAGCACAGGGGAGCTCTGACAAAACACGTTGCACAGGGGTGACTGTTGCTCCGTTGCAGATGCGCGAGCACGTCAATTCAACGTGGTTCATTTTCCGGAAGCGCGTAGACAACTTTCTCCACGCCCTCATGCCTTCCACCATTGTCCCACTGTACACCATGGTAAGCCAGCATGTCATTCCACACTCCTGTGAGCTCCTCCTGCCTGGCTTTGGGGTGGTGACATTCTCCTGCAACCCCTCCCAGGTGACCTTCACCAGAATTCGCTACCATGAGGCCCTTCAACGCTGGAAATGGCAGACAAAGGTTGGTCCAGGGTGGTGCCCACCCTCCCCACGCCATGAGCCTTGGGAGCATCCAGCACTGCTCAGCTTTGGTGGTGGGATGTTGCTAACTGTGATGATTTTGCTTGGTGCTGCAGGGTAGGGGCCAGCCTCTGATGATGTTGGGGTTTCTCTTTGCACTTGCAGGTAATTAATCGAGGGCTCTTTGTAGTGGGGGCAGCAGGACTGGGTGGCACCTACCTGCTGATAAAGTGTCTGGCACGGAACTTGAACTTCTGCCTGGAAGACTGGAGGGGCTGGCCCCATTATCTAAAGAATATTGGAAATCTTCCCTTTGGCACACGAGTGGTTTAAAGGTATGGGGAGAGCCTGACCCCTGCCTGGCTACATCCCCCTGTCAGAATGTTGTAGAGAGTGATAAGGTGTCCACTGAGCCTCCTTTCCTCCAGGCTAAATACTCCTAGCTCCCTCAGCTGCTTCTCACAGGACTTGTGCTCTAAATTCTTCACCAGTTCTGTTGTCCTTGTGGGGCTGGCCCCATTATCTGAAGAATATTGAAAACCTTCCCTTTGGCACACGAGTGGTTTAAATGTATGGGGAGCTCCTTGTTTTAATAAAAACGAAGGCACGGACTGTTTGCTCAGCTGGGTGATCTTGTTTCTCTTGGGATGTGGTTTGGCAGCTCCTGCAGCCCCTTGGAAGCAATTTGGCCTTTCTCCCTTTCCCAGCTGAGAGGAGCCCATCAGGCACAGTGTCCAGAAAGCCTCTCCAGGTCTCAGGTGTGTAACCTTGGCAGTCTGGCCTTAAGGGATGTGGTGTGCAGATGTGGCACTTAGAGATTATGTTTTAGTGTTGGACCTGGCAGTGCTGGGTTAGTGGTTAGATGGTCAGTCATCTTAAGAGTTTTTTCCCAGCCTTAATGATCTTGTGATTCTATGCCCTGACCAGTGTGTCCCAGCCTGCAGACTGCTGCTCTTGGCAAAAACAAGATAATATTTTGAGGGTCCTGAAGCCAAAAATAGCTGCAACCTGGGATAGTACTAGGAGGATTATCAGACACAATTTCCTTCTTCTTACCTTGCCCTAGATCCTCACAATCACTGCTTAAGAACAATAAAATGGCCCAAATTGACCCCTGATCTGATGTGGCACAGCCAATCTCATTTGATGTGGTCTATGTACAGCTGCCAGCACATGGGCAGGGACAAAACTGCTCTGCACTATTCTTTGAGTCAGTTTTGGGCTTGCAAGGGGACACCATTCATGACATAGATAGCAGATTGTGTAGAAAATAGTTTGCTTCTCTAGCTGGGACCTTTCCCAGGCACTGTACCTATGAAAAACAGTGGCAGCAATGACAAGGTGTGACTGTAGTTTCTCCAATGAATGCTTTAGCTGCTGCCCTTGCACCGAATTCTTAGCAGGACAGATGTATTTACCTTATATATTAATCTTTATTCACATTAAACTTCTTCAGAGAGAAAAAAAAGATGAAACACAATACAACTCTATGCAAATTAATCCCAAACTTAAAGCAAATAAGGAATTGTACCACCATTTCACAGGAATGATCCACAATATAAGAGCAACTGGCCGCTGTGTGGGGATGGGGTTAAGTGCTGAGCTGGGGATGCTCTGGGTACTGCCACTGGCCCCTGGCATGTCTGACATGCTTGCAAAGCAGGGAGATCATGCCCTGGGGGTGGAAGAAGCTATGGCTGACCTCCAACCTGCATTTTCCAGGTGCTCATAGATCATAGATGAAGTTTCATAGATCAAACAGTGGCTCTTACTGTGCAGAGGACTTCAAGGCATGATGGAGGTAACCAAGCATGCAGAAGCCCAGGCAGAACCTTGCCTGAGGTAGATCTGAGTGATGTCAGGAAGCAGTTGGTGATTTGGGAAAAAGATCCAGTGCATGTTCTCCAGTTGCTCTTCATCGCAAGGTAGAGACACTCACTAGCCTTTAGGGCCTTTCATATCACTGCAGCCTCTAGAGCAGCTGCTTGGACCCTTTCTGTCCAGCTCAGCAGTGAGTTCTCTGGAAAACATTGCATTGTGGTGGAGACCAATGCAGCAGGGGAAGGCAGGGAGCAGCCTGGAGGCCGATCGTGCTGCAGCAGAAGAGATGGCAGTTTTGAAATCCCAGCTCAAAATCAAAGCTGGAAGCGTTCTGTGCTCTCAGCTGGCTTTGGGGCTTAGTGTCCAAGACTGCTGCCAGAAAGCAAAGTTAGCATCAGGAGATGGGACAGGAGCCACTGCATATTCCTGTGGTGTTCCCCTCTACCAGCTCCACTAACACAGCCATCAAGGAGTGGGTCAGGAGACGGGCATGTGTGCAGCCCTCAGCCAGCACCTGACATGATGGGGGCCTCTTGGAAGAAGGGATGAAACCATGAGGATAAAGAAGAAGGGGCAGGAGCCGTAGTTTAAGATTTCCTTAGTTTGAGCATTCCTTAGATTGACATTTCCTTATTTAACAGTGCATCCCAGTGCTGCCAGGTATTGCCTCATTCATTAAACTTGGGGTTGACGACAGTGGTGGTGGCACTCTTGAAGAGGGGATTATCAGCCTGGAGGGAGAGAAGAGAGAGGCTTGTGTTGGGCTTTCCAGCAGAGTGTTACCCATCCCACCCATCCCAATGCAAACAGCACGGAAAGCATTGGAAGAAGGATATTTAGGCTGTGGGATATTTATCCATAGGATATTTAGGCCCCTAAATGGCAAAAACCAGCTGGGCTGAAAAATGAGTAGTGGGGAGGGCTCAGGTCTACATGGCTGCCTCTGGAAAGGATGTCCCCTCCTACTGTCCCCTCCCCAGTGGATCTGAGCACCCCAGAACACCCCACTGGCACAGACGGGCTCTCTTACATCATTCCACTTGGCTTTGGACTTCTCCTTCTCAAACCGGCGGTATTCCCGGCGGTCAAGCAGCTCCATCAAGAACCGCCAGATGACCAGGACCAGAATGCCAATGAGGAACACGCCAGCAATGGTGCTGCCCACGATCAGTGGGACATTAGGAGGCTGTGGGCACTCTGTGGGACAGACAGACGGCATCAGGCTGCAGCCCTTGGTGAAGCAGCGAGGCTGCCATGGCAGAGTTGGCAGCCTGCCTGTGGCAGGGCAGGAGTGGGGATGGGATACCTCTATCAGGATCGACAATGATGGTATATATCTCCTCGCCATCCTCCTGGACCATATGGAAGGACATCCAGCAGTTCTGGGAATCCTTTTCCCTGCATTTCCTATCACTTGTGCTCACCTCAGTTGAGTTTGTGGGCAGCTGGATGTTGGGACAGGCCTGGGAGCAGTTCTTCTCAAAGGGGCCGCTGTTGAAGAACTTGCACTCCACGCAGGAGCTGCAAAACAAGCGGCCGCAGCTGACATCTGCAGGGGCAGAACCCCTCTCACCTGGATTTGGCTACAGCTGGGCTCTGCCCAAGCACAGGCAGGGATACTGGGGATCCCCGTGCCCTCTCTGTGCCCATCACTCACATGTATCTGCCACAGGGAGAAGGGCAGCCTGGGCATTCCTGGCAGAAGGGGGGCTGGTACCCTCCCGAGCACTGGCAGCGGTTGCAGTGGCAGGTCCCACGGAGGCTGCAGACGTGTCTGCGGGCATTGAGGCAGCTCTCCGTCGATTGCTGGCACTGGCAGGCGCTGCCCTCATATCCAGGCAGGCACTTGCATGCCCCGCAGTCGCACTGCCCTCGTGCTGCAGAGGAAGATCTTTCAGATCCTGCAGACAGCCAGGCCACCCTCCCTCTGCCCATGCTTGGAGAGCATCACCCACCCTGCGCTCACCACACCACCCTCAAGGAGGTCCTCCAGGCTGGTGTCCCAGCAGCCCCAAACCCTCCCACTGGGGTTATGGCACAAAAAGGCTGCATCTCCCTGGGCACTGAATTCTTCTCAGCCGTGGAAAAGCTGTCCCAGGAGCATCACCTGGGCCGCCGCAGAGGGAGCCGTTGAAGAACTCGCAGTTCTTGTTGTCGCACTGGCAGTAGGTGCCGTAGATGTACTTGCCAGGCACGTCGCTGGTGTGGCACACGCACTGCCCGCACACGCAGTCCCCCTGCCCCGAGCAGAGCACCGAGCTGTTGTCCCTCCGGCAGCTGTGCTCCAGCTCCTTGCTGGTCTTTCCTTTGGTGTCGCACTCGCAGTTCTTCCCTGTGTATCTTGAGTTGCAGCTGCCGCCAGAGGAGAGGAGCAAGCTTGGGTCAGTGGCCATGTGGCATGCACAGGGCCTGGACCTCCACAGAAGTGGAGCAAATCTGGGACAGCCTCACCAAAAAACAACGATAGCATGATGGTGCTATCTCCATGCTGGAGCAAGGAGCAAACCTCAGAAATGCTGCTTTTCCACCACTCATAGTCACAACACCAAATAAATGCCCAGAAATTACTGATATATTTATAATTTCCAAGGCCTTGCCAAGGACATGTGAGTATTTCCTGAGGAAACCCAATATTTTCCTCTCCTTGTCACTGAGAGGCCATGAAGCAATAATTACACTTAAAGACCATGAGCTGCAGCCAAGAAATGGGATTTTGAGAGTTTTACAGAAATCTGTGTCTGCTTAGTGGATAGACTGGTGGATGATTGGATACTGGGATGGATGGCTGGATAGATGGATGGATTGAGGCCCTTAGAGAAACAGCATAGCCTCCACCAACAGAAGAGTAAGCTCATTTTGCCCCCTGCCTCCATGTGAATATAGGGGGCAGTTCCAAGGGGAATGCACAAATCCACCTCTCTGAACAAAAAAAATTGTGCAAAGCTACAGAGCCCAGCCCTGGCTTGGCCCAACATCCCTCTCCCAGCAATTCCCCAGCTCTGGCAGCATTTGAAATCATGTTTTGGGCAGACAGCACATACCTGCAGGTCCCACATTCGATGATGCCTTGCCCATTGCAAGCAGTTGGGTCAGGCTTGTCATTGCAGTGGCAGTCACAGTTGCTGGCCACATGGACAGTGAGGGTGTCTGTGAAGCCTAGCGGCCGGATGGTGAAGGAATATTTTGGAATGCACACCTTGGCTGTGACCTTCACTTTGAAGATGACCTAGAAAGTGCAGAGTAAGTCAGGGAAGGGCCAGATGTCCAGCTGTCAGTGTGGTTTTGGCACTAGGCTGAGGACATGCACATCCAGAACAACAGAGGATGTCCCACATCCCATAGCATTTTGGATATTCTTGGCATTAAATTAATATAAACAGAAAACCTGGGAGAGCAACCAGGGCTCCTGTCATTAAACAGGATGGGCAACAGGAGCTGGGCAAGCTGTGGGGTGTTCCTGGTACAGGAGAGCATACCTCTTCATTGATCTTGACATTGTCACACTGGCCTCTTGCTTCATCCACGGAGTCCTTGTCATTTTTGCATTTGGAGTCATATTTGACATCCAGAGTGTCCAGCAAGGTGGAATGGTCCAAGATGATCCGTGAGGAGAGGTTCTTTGGAAAAATGGTGGAGAAAGTACCCATCAGTCCAAGAGCAGACCAAACCAAGAGGGTATGGGGTTGCAGGTCAGGAAGAAGAGTCAGAGAGCACCACAAGTCAGGATCTCAGCTGCCTGGGGTGGTTCTGGAAATGCAGGTGATGCCATTGGAGAGGCGGGAACACCAGCACTTACATTGT